TATTGGAATGGAAAGGGTTCACTTGCCTTGACTTGAAAAACCGCAGTTATTTTTTAGTGGTAACTGAAGGACTTTGTAAGTGAATGGACAAAGGGAAGTTACGACGGTTTACTATTCAATAGAAAAACTTGCATTGTTTAATTTTTTTTATTTTTAGAAAGCAGTAAGTAATTTTAATTCAACAATACTTATATAAAAAGAACTGTAGTTTATTTAATATGCTCGAATTTCTAAAGAGTCCACCTAAAATTTATTCTTAAAGGTTTTAATCCTTCATCTCGGCAATCCAAACATTTTCAGACTTGGCCTAATATGTTAGTCTGTTAGCCTTATCTTTCACTCCTTTCGTAAGCTCTTTAAACCCCGAAAATCGTTTGGATTTCTCGTATTTTATTTTTTTCCACTACCAACACGTATTTCTAATCGTTTTCCTGGAAATTACCTTCCATCCGTTTTTCGGTTTTTGCCCAAAAGGCGTTGAGTTGATAATTCCTAAGCCCGCACAAACTGCCGAGCGGAGACAATGAAGAGTCACCCACATTATCGAAATGTTTTCAGGTCATTAAGTTTGTCCACAGACGAGCGGGTGGCGGAACATCCCGAACAGAGCGGCCCAAGGAAGGTGTAAGTTGAGCGAATAGAAAAACAATTGAAAATTGAAGTGGCAATTAAAGTATGTACGTTTTTGGGAAAACACTTTTTGGCCGATCTGGGATGGCAATTTAATGCACATATGCCGAGATTTATGTGTTTTGTACGAAGGGGCAAGACAAAAGCGACATTTCGCTTTAGACAATATTTTTCTTTGGAACGGAGAAAAAGCACTCTGAGTATGGGGATGCCATAAAGAAGGAATCATCTCGTTCCACTCGTGGATCTCGCTGTGCTGGCATTTAAATGTACGAAATTGTTTTTGCCGCTCGCTGGCATCCTCTGACAGGATGCGAAAACGTTTGAATATTCCTTTCTCCTTCCTCAACCCAGCGAGAAAATTGTATCCTTTTTCCAGACCCGTCCCCATATACAGATATTTATTTTGTTTTGTCGCTGTCGGCGATTTTTTGCCTGGCCGCGTATTTGGCATCGCGATAGCGCCAGGAATAGTCTGCCCAGCACCAGAAAATGCAGTTCAAATATCGGCCATGGAGTCGAAAGAACCCAACAACCGAACCCACAGTCCCCCCTCTCGGAGAACCTAGCCCCGGCTTAGAGAAACACCATCCGCATATTAATTTCATTTGCCTTGTTGACTCTCTGTCGGTCAGCCGACTCGTCTGCATTCAAAATGCGTCTTTATGCAGTGCAGAAAGGCAGTGGAAAATCACAGAATTACGCGAAAGCATTCGTCATTTGCATTCAGGGTCTTTTCTTTGATTTTCCATCGGGGTCTCTGATACGGATAAGTTGTGGATACTTTACGAACTGCTTCAGGCGAAACCAGGGCAAAATCGCGGACTTGTCGCTGTGAAAGTTTCACCGTTGTCAATGCCGTGATTTGTGTCCCACCTGGCAAACGGCAGTAAAGTCACCGTGATTGATGCAAATCCTGGTCGCATAATTAAGAAATTTATTTTTGAGGGGTTAATGCAACAACTAAAAAAATAGTTTACAAATATTTAAAAATTATTTTATATAATTAAATTATTTTTATGATATTAGTAACTTTTTCATGTCTTTTTCTACACTTGTGACAGCATGTGCTCCCATTTAATCGCATCTTGTTAGACCAAAAAGAACTTAAAGTACATCCAACCGAACCGCACTTTCTCGTACAACTTAATAATGGCAAAAGACTGCGCCGACATATTCCCAACAGGTGTAGACGCCACATCCAATTGCAAAGCTATTTTCGGTCATGGGAACGATGACACCGCTTGTATCACCTCCATCTCCCCAGACTTGTCTATAAATATATATGGAGAGGCAACAAAATGCAGCTGCAGAACTCCAACACCGCAGATCAACTTTAACCCACAAGAATCGGGAATATAACCGCAATATTGCGACACAAAACACTTGAACCACCCACTTTTTGTGTTTGAGTTATTTTACGAGTTTTATTGGCTTTTATTGGCAACGAGATTTGAATTTTTCAAAACGACACTTGCTGGCTGACTGCTGTTGGTCTGGTTGTCTCCTTTTTGTGGCTTAATCGTTAGTCATTTTTTATGGCCCGTATTTCGCCTGCAGGTGCCGTCCATAAGGACATGTGGACCGTGCACCCACATCCTGGACATAACTTAACCACTGATTGCACTTTTATGGCCAAAAGTTGCTCCTTCGGAACAACAAGCCAACATTTTTTGCGATAACCACAAACTGCTAATTAACTGTTGACTATATAAAACCGTTTAATCCTTTAGCCTTAAATGGCAGAGCATCAAAAAAAGACGAAAGAAAAATGCAAATTCGTGGAAATGCCATTCAAAGTGTGCCGCATAATGGTAGGCGACAGACAACTTGCTAATTTTCATGCACCATTTAAGGGGCGAGTTCTTTTGAAGGCATCGAAGGGAAATCCCTCCTCCATCCCGCCTGTCACGAATTCACTTGACAACTCTTTTTTTGCCACGATGCGACAAGCCAAGCCTCCTTTGGAGCTACTTAAAATTCAGTGCCCGACATAAACATCCTTAAGCATCCTGCTAGTCAACAGTCGGCAGTCAACAGTGCCAGCATTGCGCTTTAACGATATGTCAGAGATTAGGGAGCGTTACAAATGAATGCCAAGACAATTAATTGGGGGAATTAAAGAGAAAAGTGGGGGGAGAAGTTAAAAAATTGCAGAACAGTAATTATCAGAATTTATAAAGTTAGGATATGTAGAAAATATTAAAAAAAATAAATGTTAGTAAATATTAATTAATAATTATGTATTAATTTAAAACCTGTTTATACTACGTCAGACTTTACAAGTGTTATGTCATTTAGTAAAAATTTTAACTATTTTTTTTCCTACTTTAAAAAATCAGCAATTTAGACGATTTGGCGTTATTGCACTTTTAATAATGCGATAATGCCTGCAGAGTGAGTCTTTCGCAGTAATTTTAGCATTACATTTTTCTAATCATTGAACTATGCCCTGTCAAAGGAGAACTACAACGAATACTTAAAATAACAGTAATAAATTCTAGATCATAAAAATGCCCTTAGCATTACTCTATGTTATTTCCATTAACCATTATTTCCATGGCTTCCCACTCTCGCTTCCCAAGTAAATGCAATAATAACCACAATAAAAATCTGTAAAAATGAGCATTACACGAGCTGGGTTTAGAGTCATATGAATAAAAATAGAATAACCGCCAGCGGCAAACGCGAAACAAAGCAAACAATAATTTCCCTCATATATAAAGAAGGATTCGCGGAGTGGGCGAAGGACTCTCAGTGTTTTGGGCCAAGTCAAAACGGATGTACAAATTGCAAGGCATAATTCAAATTGTTTGACTTTTTGACAATGACTGCGCCAGTTTGGCCCAAACTCCCACTCCCTGAAAATCTTCTCGGATGGCCTCTTATCTTGGCATATGTGCCATGAACTGAAAACTGGCGCCATTCGCCTGCAATATTTTCGTAACGCTGGGCTATATATCTTTAAGCCCTCTCGCCTGCAGTCTCTGCAAATTTAAGGTTCCCCTTCTCCATGGCCACAGTGCGTATGAGTCACATTAATTAGCCGAACTGCCAGAAAGTGTGCTTAAAAAGCAATTAAATGTGATTAGCATAAGTTCCTCGAACACACCATATATATTTTCTAAAAATTGTTAAATACTTTTTGGCTTCTGTGCGCGCACAAAAATCGCTAAATACTTTCAGGCGGCTGCCATTTGGGTTCGAATAAGTTCTGGCGGTTTTCTGGCCTGGCCTCAAAACCATTCGACTTAATTAGTTGGCCGACGCCAAAAGTCGACGCCCCCTCGAATGGCTTTTTCCTTTTTTGGACCGAAAAACTATGAATTTATTTGACACTTGAATAAATGCGGTTTTTGCGGCAGCCAAATACGAGGAAAAATGTTAGGAAATATATATTTTTCAAAACGGATTTGCTAGCAGCCAAAAGGCTCATCCCCTTTCGCCGGTTGTCGACACACATGGTTGATATATAACCCATGTCGTGCTCTTGTTCCGCAGTTCGATTCACAGCGTTTCCTGATTTCCTTACCCCAAGGGGATTCCCCCTAAAGTCTGGGGGGCGTGTGTGTACTTAGCGTTTTGTAAAATGCCATTTTTGTGCCCTCTCTAATTTATGAATGCCTCTTCAAGGCGGTAATTGTGATATGCGAGTGTGCTGCTGAAGTATAGAGTGCATTTTTGGCGAACAAAGGACAAGGACTAGAACCAACGGGCAATGATGTCATTTGCCGATGGAGTGGCGGATTAGAAGGTGACTGACTCCAAAGATGCCTGATGGTGAAATATATTTTTCCTATACTTAAATGGGTTTAAATTTGTCCAACCAAAACGATTTATGGATAAAGAGAAAGGAACTAAACAAACAAATGTATTTATATTTTAAATATATGTAAACTCAATGCTCCAAGTATTTCTAACACTATTATATATATTTGTTATTAATAATATTTTTTTCAGGTAATATTTAACTTATTAAGAAAATCCTAATCTCTCCAAATGGGACTATAAATCAGTCGACTTTATATTATATTCGTAAGTTTATTACCTACTTTCACTTGCTCTATTTGGCCTAGCTGATATTTGAGCCCCATTGGCTAATGCTGCAAAATCACGACCTTGCACAAATATGTCCAGTGTAATGCACCGAAATAAATGGATGTGCGTTTTTTAATTTGACCATTTACAGGCCGACAGAGTGTTAAACCATTAACCAAACCATAACGGATCGCACGTATTATGATACAAATTTTAATCTTTTGCCGCATTTTTAACGGCAAGTCGAACACCTTTTGATAGCTCGGACTTCTATTAATTCACGGCATTTAAATTCATCGCCCTGTCCGGCGAAAAGTGTGCAATTTGCTCCGTGACCACAGTCCGTTTGAGGGAGTCGACCGAATCGCACACACGTTCTCTCTGCTCGACAAGTCGATTAAATTTTCAGAAATAATCGGTAAAATGTCGTGTGCCTTATCAACGTTTCTAGTCTTTATTGGCTTCTATGCCCTGGCCTCTTATCTCTACGAGCAGCTAAGAACGCCGTACAAATTGCTAAAACTCAGGTATTTCAGCGATACAAGACCCACTCTTAAGGAGCGTTATGGAAATTGGGCTGCTGTCACGGGAGCCAGCGATGGAATCGGCAAGGAATATGCCAAGGAACTGGCCAGACAGAACATCAATGTGGTCCTGATCGCCAGAAGTGAGGAGAAACTCCAGGCGGTGGCCAAGGAAATTGGTAAGTCAAGTGGTAGGGAGATTAGGAAATGTTCTGAGATTACAAAATAATGATTAACAACGGGCTGGAATGACTATTACATTTTTGTTAATTTCCATAGTCCGAAAAAATACTGGAAAAATCAATGAGATTATTATACCTATCAAATGCATTTACCTAACATGAGGTATTTTATTACAGCGCTTACCTTATCACTAAAATATAAGAGAATAATCAGTAATCATATTCAATTAGAGCAACGATGAAGTTGTCAAAGATTAATGATTATGGTATTTAATATTTATTACTTTTTTGACTGTGATTCCTCTCTATTATAACAATTTGGGAAAGCCATGCGATGGATTTTCAGCCAAAAGATTTTTTTGAACTTGGAACAAATACTAAATATTAATATATATCTTTCTTACATTATATTTCAGCAGAAGGAGGTTCTGGTGTGGAGACAAAAATAGTGATTGCTGATTTTACCAAGGGCTCGCAGGTCTATGAGCATATAGAAAAGGAAACAGCCAATGTACCCATTTCTATACTTGGTAGGTTTATATATATATATGTTGTATATACTATTACAATCTAATATATTAATCTATAAATTCACAGTAAACAACGTTGGTTCCGGCACCCCGTCATCCATTCTCAAATGGAGCCAGGAGGCGACCCAGAATATAATCGACACCAATGTGGTGGCTGTTTCCCAGTTGTCCAGGATCTTCTTCCAACGCATGAAGGCCGCCAAGATCCGGGGGGCCATTGTGAATGTTAGTTCCGGAACGGAACTGCAGCCCCTGCCCTATGGAGCCTACTATGCCGCCTCGAAGGCGTACACCCGCAGTTTAACTTTGGCCCTGTATCACGAGGCCAAGCCATTCGGAATCCATGTGCAGCTGCTGTCCCCCAACTTTGTGGTGACCAAGATCAATTCTTACTCTAGGCAGATCATGAAGGGAGGTCTGTTCATCCCATCGGCATCGACTTACGCCAAGAGTGCGGTGGATCAGCTGCGAGATGGAGTGGACGAAACTCCCGGTTACCTGTGGCACCATGTCCAAAATGCCGTGGCCACCGCATTCACCTGGCGAGCTCGTACTTATGCCGCCTTTAAAGTTTTCCGCAAAATATCGGATAAGCCTAAAAAGCAGTAACATTATAAAAAATTGTAAATACAACTTAAAGAGACAAAAATGCTTTTTTTTTAACGGTCCAATTCGTATTTAAAGTGTTCTATTTCTAAAATTGTATTTTTTCAATATGAAATAGCACACTTTTTAGCGGGGTTGCATTTGGTTCGTGCCTTTACTAAAAGCAGTTCCATATTTTAAAAGCTTTTTATGTGTTCATTTTAGTTGTACTGATAATAATTTAAAATAATATGTGGTTAATGCTTCACAAATAAAATGTTATTATAATTATTTATTTATTATATAAAGTTGAAGGAGGGGATCGACCATAGTTGCCGCGATTTTGGCCAAACAAAATATCTTTATTTCCCTCTTTATTTTAAGTTTTGGTTCATAAATATACACATTCGCTTAAAAACGTTTATTCGGATTGCCAAAGATATTCTTTTTTGTAACAGAAAACAAATACAACTTAATTTAACCTAGTCAAACAGCGAGTAAAAAAAACCAATTTAAAAACAAAATAATAATATTATTAATATCTTTTTCATTAAAATTTTGTTGAAATAAATTAAAGGTTTAAGAAAAAACCCTTAAGTTCACAGCATATTGTCTTTTGAGAAAGAAAAATCAAATCATTGTTAGAACCGTTGCTTGCATCTTGGTAGGTAAAATGACAGAGCGATACAGCGAAAGTTTGGCAATTATAAATAGGTATAACAGTAATTCTCGATGAAACAACAAATAACCAACAAAGTCGTTAAATGATAAGCATAGGTTCTACAACCTCTTCAATTCGCTCTTATCACCGACAGAAAGTCGGCTTGTTTTTTACTATATAAAGAGAATTCTCTTACTTACGCAGCCAGTTTTGGAAGTGAGCATTTACACGCTGCTCAGGATGGCGTTTATTTGGCAGCTGATCTCCGCGGCCATCTATATAGTGGGATCGCTCACCATAGCCGCATTCCTGTACGACAACCTGAAGTCCTTGATCAGCATCATCAAGGCTGTTCTGGAACCCTTCTTTCAGCCACAATTGCCAAGGTCTTTGGTGGAGAAATTCGGTCAATGGGCAGGTAAGTTTTTCGATTTAAAAATCAATAATTTATTATTTATTTTTGTTAATGTCTAGAATAAATCAATTTACAGAAATACAAAGAATAAGAATAATCGATTTGTACGGATATTTTATTAACATTTTCTTCTTTTTACTAAAACTTAATCCAGATCAGCATTTCCACATCACTTGAAAATTCTTGATTTCCAGGGTGATAGAATAAATACCTATATTTAACATCGTTAAAATTTTTATGGATATACTTGTGAATATACACTTTCGATAAGAAAAAAAATTGACCAATCATTCAAATGATTTATTTAAATTAATATTGTCAGCATGAGTAGCTATCTATTTCCATTTTCATATCACTAGAAATGTTGTGGTTTGTTGTTTATACTTTCTTTGTACTCTTAAATGCTGATATGAATTATTTTAGGGTTTGGGCAGCCGACTATATATATAGTCTTTTCGCATGCGAGTATATTTTTCTTTATAATCATCAAATTTAATTTTATTTCATCTACTTTAGTGGTGACTGGTGCTACCGATGGCATTGGAAAGGAATACGCCAGGGAACTCGCTCGTCAGGGTCTCAACTTGGTACTCATTTCGAGGACGAAGGAAAAGCTGATTGCTGTCTCCAATGAGATTGGTGAGCCTTGTTTATCTATCAACAACTACAAAATGAGTATTTATTTGTTTTCAATATGCCGTTTTAGAAAGCCAATACAAAGTGAAGATCAAGTGGATTGTTGCAGATTTCGCCAAGGGACGCGAGGCGTACGATCACATAGAAAAAGAACTGGTTGGAATTGACGTTGGCATTTTGGGTAAGTATGGATTCAAAAGATAAATTAAAATGTTTCTTAATATATAAATAGTATTTATTTTTTTTTAATATCACATCAGATTATAAACCCCATTTGGTGGTAAATTTTGATAAATGTTTTAAAAATTATTAGAGTTGTTTGGTTCGATTATGAAAATAATAAAAGCCTTACATTTTTACAGTAAACAATGTGGGCATGGCCATTGAATCCGATACCTTTGATCAGATTCCGGAGGATCTGCTGTGGGATCTTCTCACCGTCAACATGGGATCGGTTACCATGCTCACCCGCAAGATTCTTCCCCAGATGATTGCCCGCCGCAAGGGTGCCATTGTCAACCTGGGATCCTCCTCGGAACTGCAGCCCTTCCCCTACATGACCGTTTATGCGGCCAGCAAGAAGTTCATGACCTTCTTTTCCAAGGGCCTGGAGGCGGAGGTGGCCGAGCACAATATCCATGTCCAGCTGGTGATGCCCGGCTTTGTGAGAACCAATATGACTGCCTCGGCCAGTAAGGTGATCCAGGAAGGGCTGCTTTTCCCCAAAGCCTATACCTTTTCCCGCTCCGCCGTCTTTACACTGGGAAAAACGAGCGAGACGAACGGTTTCTGGACCCATTCGGTTCAGGTGCGTATTTCTAAACATCTAAAAATGTTAGAACATATTACAAATAATACTCTCTCTAATTACAGTACGCAATCGCAAAGCTGGCTCCCCAGCCGATACTCACATACGTTTTCCATAGACTTTTCAAGCGAATGAGCCTTGCAAGGCTCGAGCAAAAACAAAAGAAACCGGACCTGTTGTAACTTTTGAGGCTATGTTGGGACTAGAAGTCAAGTTAATATTTGGTTCTTAGTCATTAAAAGTCTTAATTTTAAGGCTTGGCTTTAATAAAATAAAAACGAAAATGCTTTCCTTAAAAATACTTGTTTTGATAAGAAAATTATGAAAATGTAAAATAAAAAAAGTTTTGAATTTTATCATCAATTGTTTTTAAAGTTTTTCTTAATGTAGTTTCTCAATGATTTTCAGCTGAAAAATGTTTCCTACTTATAGGGGTAAACTCTATATGGGACACCCCTGTGTTTCCTTTACCATGAATAGTATTAAAATTACAAAATATGTATATGGCGTTAAAATCCCGTTTATACCAGACCAGAGAATTCCCCATATGTTTTCCCTTAAAATACGGCAATATTTCATTTCACGTTAATACGTGAAAACCGCTTTTATGACAAGGATACTTACATTTAGAACTTTTTGTGGAAAGCTCTTTAACTTTCTCGATGAACATTTCCCGCCATGCTCGTCAGTAAAATTATATTTGACTACCAGAAATTTTATCATAGCTACACAGACTAAAAAAGTCTACACGAGATTAGTTGTGGAAGTTATTAACACCTCAGTAGTTTGTGTGACATTTTCGATTGCAATTAACCAATGGCTAAATACATTAGTTAAATTGTACCTCTAATTTTCGAAAAGTGTTTCTATATATAAAAGAGCAAATATTGTTTAAAATGTAAGAACTGACTAAAGCTCCTATATTCCCTTGTTTAATTTAAATTAAAATTTGTCCATTTATAACCGTTGCTTATTGAAGACAAAAACCAAAAGCTTAACTGTTCAGTTCGTGATTGAAATCGTGATCGGCGTTCCGACCTGCAACTTGTTGCTTCGGGAAATAAAGGTACAGACCGACAGCAATAGTAGTTAGTATAGTAATAGTAGAAACTATAAATAATTAGCACAGGTGTGCAGTGATAAGCATAGGTTCCACAAGCTCTTCAATTCGCTCTTATCATCGACCAAAAGCCGGCTTGTTTTTCCTATATAAAGAGAACTCTCTTAACCATTTAGCCAGTTCTGGAAGTGAGCCCTTGCACTCTACTAAGGATGGCGTTTATTTGGATCTCCGCGGTTATTTATACAGTGGGTTCGCTCACTACAGCCGCATACCTGTACGACAACTTGAAGTCCTTGTTCAGCATCATCAAGGGTGTCCTGGCACCCTTCTTCCAGCCGCAATTGCCAAAGACCTTGGTGGAGAAATTTGGACAATGGGCAGGTGAGTGCCTCGATTGTAAAATCGATCATTTAATATCTCTATGTGTTTTCCTTGTTATTTAATCAGATATTTACATACTATCACCCCAAGGGTCTGCTAATATTAGAGGTTTGCTTCACTGTCACAAATGCATTTCGCTTACCATATTTATTGAGGGAGTGTTTTGCTATATGAAGAATCACTCAGCACCTCTTGGCAATCATTAGCTTAACTCACATATAGAAATGGGTTAATAACTCCAAAAACTTTTGTAATATATATTGTAATTTATATTAATCGATTTGAGTAGTTTTTATACCCGTTACTCGTAGAGAAAAAGGGTATATAGTATTCGTGCAAAAGTATGTAACATCTAGAAGGAAGCATTTCCGACCCTATAAAGTATAGGAATTCTTGATCAGGATCACTAGCCATGTCCGACTGTCCGTATGTCTGTCCGGATGAACGCTGAGATCTCGAAAACTACAAAAGCTAGAAAGTTGGTATTACCCACACATATTCTTGGGCTTCCTACGCAACGCAAGTTTGTTTCAGCCGAGGGCCACGCCCCCTCAAACGCCCACAACCCCCTTAAAAGTAAAATGCAGTTTTATTGTTTTTATCAATACCTATCGAAATGTAGAAGAAAATTTTCAAATCAAAGTTTTATATCTCCATCTCCCTCGCACACCCTTTAGCTTAGTGACGGGTATCTGATAGTCCTGGCACCCGACTACGCAGTGAGCTTGATGTAAAAAGTTACAGTATACATTTATGATAAGATGAGCAATCCGTAAACAACATGACTTATTACTATAAATTATTTAGCTTGAAAGAATGGCCAGAATTTCTTATCAGAATGTTCGAGTATATTGCAGGCTTTAATATTAGCATTTTCTTTTATTTACTAAAACTTAGTCAAGATCAGTTTATATTTAGTTGTCAGCATGACTAGCAATCTCTTTGTAATTTTGATTTCCCACGATGATATGGTAAGCTTTCTTAAATTTTCTCAAATTCACCATGATTTGCCTTTATTGAACATTGTTTACAGATGAATATAAATTTTCGATTAGATAACAAAATAACCAATCATTCTAACTTTCAATTTAAATTCATATTGTCAGCATGAGTAGTTATCTCTTTTAATTTTTGGCCTGCGCTGTAATCATCAAGTTTTAATTTTATTCCACTCCCTTTAGTGGTCACTGGTGCCACCGATGGCATTGGGAAGGAATATGCCAGGGAGCTGGCTCGTCAGGGTGTCAACTTGGTGCTCATCTCGCGGACGAAGGAAAAGCTGATTGCCGTCACCAATGAGATTGGTAAGGATTGTTTATCTACCAACAAGTACACAATGTGTATTTATCCACTTTTTAAATGCCTTTTCAGAAAGCCAGTACAAAGTGAAGATCAAGTGGATTGTTGCAGATTTCACCAAAGGACGCGAGGTGTACGAGCACATAGAAAAAGAACTGGTTGGAATTGACGTTGACATTTTGGGTAATTAAGGATTAAACATATATATTTAATTTTTTCTTAATATATAAATAATATTAATAATACACATTATTATTGCATAGTGAAATTTTTTAAATATTTTTAAAATTATAATTCAAGAACCCCGCATTAAATCTTTACAGTTAACAATGTGGGCATGATCTTTGAACCCGAGACCTTTGATCGGGTGCCGGAGGACGTGCTGTGGAACCTCCTCATCGTTAACATGGGATCAGTTACCATGCTCACCCGCAAGATCCTGCCCCAGATGATTGCCCGCCGCAAGGGTGCCATTGTCAACCTAGGATCCTCCTCGGAACTGCAGCCTATGCCCAACTTGACCGTCTATGCGGCCAGCAAAAAGTTCATGACCTTCTTTTCCAAGGGCCTGGAGGCGGAGGTTTCCGAGCACAATATCCATGTCCAGTTGGTGAAGCCCGGCTTTGTGAGAACCAATATGAATGCCTATGCCGAAAAGGTGATCCAGGAAGGTCTGTTTTTCCCCAACGCATATACTTATGCCCGCTCTGCCGTCTTTACTCTGGGAAAAACGAACGATACAAACGGATTTTGGACACATGCAGTTCAGGTGCGTTTTACTATTATACTATTACTATAAAGAAATTTGTTAGTTGAGTGATTTAATATAATTCGATTTAAGGGAAATAATAATTTGTTCTAAATACTGATAAAAATATTAAACTCTCTCTAATTTCAGTACGCTTTCATGAAGCTAGCTCCCGAGCCTATACGCACATACTTTACTCATAGACTTTTCAACCGATTGAGACTCGTGGCCCTCGAGCAAAAGCAAAAGAAACTGGACCTTTCGTAACATATTAAACTAGCTAAGGAGTCCTATAAATATATGGTTCCTAGCCGTAAGTCTTTATTTTAAGGCTTGGTTTTAATTTAAAAAATCGAAAAACCTTTTGTAAAAACAACAAACAAATAAGCAAGCAAGAATTTACTATAAATTCGACATCTTGTGACAACAAAATTATAGAACTATAAATAAAAATCGTTTTCAAGTTTATAAAAAAGCGCAAAAATCACTTTACTTAAAAAAATTCTTTTGTCCAACCGTTTTGTGTTCGCTTTTGAAAAATATGACACAAAATTTCGTTTGTGGGGCCGGTTTCCAAGAGAATTCCCTTAATATTTTTCTTTTAAAACAAGCCAATAATAACGTGAAAATAGCCAAAATGACAACAATACTTACATTTAGAACTTTTCGTGGAAAGCTTTTCGACTTCCTCGATGAACTTTTCCCGCCATGTTCTTCAGTCTGGAAAAAATATTCAGCTGGTCAGGCGGTAAGGGACAGCGCGTCCCACTTAAAGTATTGATTTTATTTATAGCGTTTTGGGAACTTCAGTAGCTTTGTTCGTTAACAGCATGTAAGTTTATGATTGAAGTTATTAAATAAAAGTTTGATATTTTCGATATGTGGAACGTTGCTTTTAATAAACAAATTAGCTGTCGAATAACGTCTGGAATTTTTTTTTTGGGAATTAAAACCAAACAGGTGATCAACAACCGGAAAATTGTAGCGATGACCAGAATGACCTTTTCATTTAGTAAACTTTTTGATTTGGGTAGTAATATTTTATCGTAACAATTAATCAAGTCGTAAAATAAAAACACCAGACAGAAGAAAGGCATATCACCATGCGGAATAATGGTGGGATATATTCACACCTCAGTAGTTTGTCAGTCATTTCCGATTGCCATTAGCCTTAATATTTACTTAATGGCTGAACTTTGGCTCAAATTACCGAAGATATTCATTTTCGGATAGCGTTTTTATACCGAAAAGAGAGAAACAGTGTTTAAAATATTAAGACCGACTAAAGCTCTTATTGTGTCACTAAAAATTACTGATACGTTTGTTTCGCTTGTTTGTTCGGAAATGCAATTTTGCTTTGCTGATAAGCACAACTTATGGCATGGAAATTGTAAAAGCTAATGAGGCAAAACTGTATTAAAAAATATCAAAACAAAAAAGGGCACTGTATAAAATTTACAGAGTAAATAAAATATTGGAAAATTACAATCAATTACATCAAAGATATAAAAGGTTTTATTGTTGTTTAAAGTTCAAGCGGTTTTTAAACATTTGTTTCGCCCAAAAAAGATTTTTCCAGTATAAAATAAATAATATTATAATATTCTCTAATATATAATATTTTTTAATTAAACAAATCACGAATCCTTTCAGTAAAGTGCCATAAAATAATACAGTAATTATTTCTCGAAAACTGTATCATTCGCATAGCATTTAGCGACATGAAAATGACGGGGTAAGGGAAAATCAGTACAAGTAATCTGTCTCAGATGACAGGGGTCATTGCATGACAAAAGACAATTTGACGCATCTTTTGCTTAATTGTTTGCAATTAGTTATACACCGCTAGTAAGCTGATTATGCACTAAGGAAATATGTAAATCTACGGGTAAAAATTCCAAGACTTCGGAAAGGGGGTCATTTCTTTCGGGGCAATTAAATGTCAAATAATTCACCCAGCCCCGGACACCACGTAGTTTTTCAACATCTTTAGGCCGCAGTAAAAGGCAACAAAATTAAATTTACACTTTTATGAAATAATGAACCGACAAAAGCTGAGTAAAACCGCGGAAAAGAAACCCAACTGCAGTGGCCTTTCCGCTTTAAGTCGCTGTTTTTGTTTTTTTACAACAGTTGCTTGTTGAAGACCAGATCCGAAACTGAAAATCCGAAAACCGAGAGCCCGAAAAAACCGAAGCCGCGGCTCCAAGTGTTCAGTTTCAGTGCGTGATTGGCGCTCAGACCTGCAACTTGTTGCTCCGGGAAAAAAGTCAGACAGACAGCTCGATAGTGCTAAAGTCGGGCGATTAAAAATCGGTACCATAGTAATTCTCAACGAAACAATAAATAATCGGCACGGGCGTGTAGTGATAAGCATAAGTTCCACAACCGATTTACTTGTATTTGCTCTTATCACCGACCGAAAGTCGGCCTATGGGACTGACTATATAAACAGAAACTCTCTTAACCATGCAGCCAGTTCTGGAAGTGAGCATTTACACGCTGCTGAGGATGGCGTTTATTTGGCAGCTGATCTCCGCAGCCATCTATATAGTGGGATCGCTCACCATAGCCGCATTCCTGTACGACAACCTGAAGTCCTTGATCAGCATCATCAAGGCTGTTCTGGAACCCTTCTTCCAGCCACAATTGCCAAAGACTTTGGTGGAGAAATTTGGACAGTGGGCAGGTAAGTGCTTCGATTGTAAAATCAAACCCATTATACCCCTGAATTTCGCACATACCCTCGTATGTTTTCCATGTTATTCAATCAGATATTTGCATACTCTGACCCCAAGGGTCTGTCAATATTTGAGGTTTGCGTTTTTGGTTGCTTCACTGTCACAAATGCAAATTGTTTACCTTATTTCTGGAGGGAGTGTTTTGCTATATGGTGAAGCACTCAGCACCTCCTAGAATTGGCAATCGTTAGCTCAACTCACATCCCATTATAACTGAATATTATACAAATTGGATAATAATTCTTTAAATGTCTCTAATAATAAAGTAATGTACGTTTTAATAAGAATATCGTGAGCTTCATTCTAAAAATCTTTATCGATTTCTTTATAATTGGTTCTTATTATTTCTGAAATTTAATATAAAGATTTATGCAGTATTGGTACCACTTGTACTATGTAGATTACAATGTTTATAGTCAAATAAATCTTTGACCAACATAGCATGATATTCCCGACCATTTGTACGTTTGATGGAAAAGGTTACAAAATCCATTTATGATAAGATAAGCAATCAGTAAGCACTATGAATTTTCGTTATAATTTATATGGTTTGAAAGAATGGCCTAGAATTTCCAATAAGAGTGTTCGATTATATCGCAAGCATTAGAATATACACTTTCTTTTAATGAATTAATATCAATTAAATATCACTTGTCAGCGTTAGACTTCGAATTCTTTTTCTTTTAGCACTAGAACCTTTTTTCTATAAGCTCCCTAGGGAAATAATAATGGGAAATTTTAAAAATAAAATATTGAAAAATATTTATTGATTTAATGCAATATTTTTTAAGAAGTTCATTTTGGACCAAATAAAAAATCAATCAATCATTCTAATTCGTACTTCAAATTTATGTTGTCAGCATGAGTAGAGTTAAATGTTCTTATCACTATGAACTTTATGGTGTCCCAGCCCTAAAATAAATATTTTCCTAAATTAAATTGAAATTAAATACAATTTCTGAAAAATAATTTTATTATTTGTTTTAGCAACAGTGATTCAAAATAATTTGCCATAACAATTATTGAATTATTCAAACAACTTGATTTGTTTATATTTTCGTTTATGGACCACACAAAGTCATTCAACTCGTAAACCGGCTTGCGATTTTCACGTTTATTTCGCATTCGACGTTCGCTTTGTTTTTGCTTTATTATTTAATTATTTCGCTTTCATTGACTCAAATCTCGTGCTGCTCTTCGTGGTTGTAAATTTCACTATCTACAACACTTCTAGTTTATTGCTTAATTAATGGGTGACCTTCAAGGGTGAGCAGTGATCGACTTCTGCATAGTTTTCTAATTGAATTATGGACTCTTTCAAACGGTTTTGATTACTCACCAATCGAAGTGCAAAATCTCGGCAAAATAAACGGCATTCGCAATTATCAAGCTACACGCAAGCGCAACAATCGAGTGGTGTTGCCGTTGTACTCCTAAATGTTTCTGTTGCCGGTGTTGATATTGCTGCTGTATTTGTGTTTTCACGTTTCCGTTGCACAAATATTTGGCAACCAATAACCAGCTGCCAGTGGCAACAACATTGCTGCAATTGCCACGCTAGCCGGTTTGCTTCTGAGTGCTTCTTTGCGGCCAAATCCATTTCCATTCATGATATTTGCTGAGGTTTCGGCAACCGACAACTGGCGATGTGATTAAAACGGACCCAGTCGAATGCAGTGGGTTAATTAGCGGGCAAATGCTAGGTTCGAAAAGGTCTTTTAGTTGCTAAAACTATATGTAAACGAAAGAAAGTGACGAAATTGGTCTTGAAAAAATAAATAAAAAGTTTCACAAAATCGAATAGGAATAAACCAAAACACTTTAATAACTTAAATATATATGTCAGACCCTAGACAATATGAAATAGATAGTTAAAAATATGATATTAAAAAATGATGTTTTAAGATTAAATTAAATACAAATAAAGTACAAGAATTTCAAGGATTTTTATAATTTGAAAGGGAACAAGAAAGGAAGCTAGCTTCGGCAAACCGAAGCTTATATACCCTTGCAGATCATTCTATTAATTTACAAATCGCAAAAATGTTAAATTTCTTATTATTTCACATTAGTTTTTCGATCGTTTCTATCACAGCTATATGATATAGTAGTTCGATCTTTTAAAAATTAAAATCGAAATTTGGAAATATTTCAAAATAGTCATATCCCAGAGTAGAAGGGAATGTAATAAAAACCAACAAAGATATAATTTTTTTCCCATAAATATTCATTTAGTTTTTCGACCGTTCCTATGGCAGCTATATGATATAGTGATCCGATTTAAAAAACAAAAAAACCGAAATTCAGAAATATATAAAAAAAAATATTCCCAAGAGTAGAAGGTAAAATTTCAAAAAACACCGGAGCTAGAATTTTTTTACTTTTTTTTTTTTGATCCCTCCTATGGGAGCTATAAGATATAGTTGTCCGATCCGGTTGGTTCCGACATATATACTACCTGCAATAGAAATACGACTTTTACGAAAGTTTCATCCCGATAGCTTTAAAACTGAGAGACTAGTTTGCGTAGAAACGGACGGACAGACGGACAGACGGACGGACAGACGGACAGACGGACATGGCTAGATCGACTCGTCTTGTGATGCTGATCAAGAATATATATACTTTATGGGGTCGGAAATGTCTCCTTCACTGCGATGCAAACTTCTGACTGAAATCATAATACCCTCTGCAAGGGTATAAAAATTGTATTGTTGTACATTTAAAAATTATTTCTTCTGCACTGTTGTAAAAATGTGGTTTCCGCTCCTTTTGGCAACCTTCGCCTGTACTGTACTCATCAAGTTTTCATTCGATTCCTTTCACTTTAGTGGTAACTGGTGCCACCGATGGCATTGGAAAGGAATATGCCAGGGAGCTCGCTCGTCAGGGCCTCAACTTGGTGCTCATCTCGCGGACTAAGGAGAAGCTGATTGCCGTCACCAATGAGATTGGTAAGCATTGTTTATCTACCAACAAGTACACAATGTGTATTCGATTCATTTTCGGAATGCATTTTCAGAGAGCCAGTATAAGGTAAAGACCAAGTGGATTGCTGTGGATTTTGCCAAGGGACGCGAGATATACGATCAAATTGAAAAGGAACTGGCAGGAATTGAAGTTGGCATTTTGGGTAAGTACTGAATAAAAAGATTAATTAGGGTTTGTTTTGTAATTTGTAGATTAATTAAATATTGGGATTTTTTTTTTACCAAACTGAACATAAATTTGTATAATAAAACGGGCTCTGTAAAGATATTCTTAAATGTATTGCCTAATCATTCGCTAATCGCAGTCATTACTCCAGATTTTAAACGTTTTTTTGTTAACCGATATTTACTGTACCAATTCATACATTCATCATTGTCAACAGCAAACGGCAATCAACAGTAGCAGCTTTTTATTTGCCTACTTTGTATTTTTTTGTGACTCTTTCTTGTGCGACTGTCAATGTCAAACAATAATAATAATTGCGTGCAATTATAATGACTCTGGTTTTTGGTCTATTGGCGAGGCGAAGAGTGGCTTAGGCGATGTTCAAGTACATAGGCGATGCGCCGTTGTTGTTGGGGTTTTATTTTTATTCGGCCAAGCAGACTCATAAACGCTTCAGCAATTTACATTTCCACAGCCTTGCGAACGCCTCAAGGCATTTTTAATAAACATTTTGGCCGATAAGACTTGACATTGATCTTGGCCAGCGGAATTTAATTGCCACTGTAGCTTTGATATGAATAAACATAGAAAATATTTTACTATTATGAGCAATGCATAATATTTATTGTACCAAGGTTTTGAAATTTTGTTGTATTAAATAATATAATATACATACATAATTTTTCTAAAATATAAAATATTTTTTTGATTTTAAAAATAATAAAATCTTTAAATTCTTTTAGTTAATAATGTGGGCATGATGTACGAGCACCCCGAGACCCTGGACTTGGTGCCGGAGGATCTGCTGTGGGACCTGCTCACCGTCAACATGGGATCGGTTACAATGCTCACTCGCAAGATCCTGCCCCAGATGATTGGTCGCCGCAAGGGAGCCATTGTCAACCTGGGATCCTCCTCGGAACTGCAGCCCCTGCCCAACATGACCGTCTATGCGGCCAGCAAGAAGTTCGTCACCTACTTTTCCAAGGGCCTGGAGGCGGAGCTGGCCGAGCACAATATCCATGTGCAGCTGGTGATGCCCAACTTTGTGGTGACGAAGATGAATGCCTACGCCGATCGGGTGATGGCGGGAGGTCTGTTCTTCCCCAACGCCTACACATTTGCCCGCTCCGCCGTCTTTACACTGGGAAAAACGAGCGAGACGAACGGTTTCTGGACTCATGGCATTCAGGTAACAAGATATTATACTACAAATTTATAAAACGGCTATTCTTACCTTGCTAGCCTTTATTGTTCAGTTTTGAGTCCTCTAAAATATATAACTCATACGTAGTGTTGCCACTGAACAATTTTATCTTTTCCTAGAAGAATTAGAATTTTCCTCTCTTTCAATATTTAAATTAGTGCTCTTAAATTACAATTCTTCTAAAAATAAAAGTAACTTCAGTAAATAAAAAATATAAAAAAGTGAAATAAGTGCAAATCGAGTTACAATATTAAATATTTTAATTTTAAAACTTTATCTAATTACAGTATGCCTTCATGAAGTTGGCTCCCCTGCCGATACGCACATTTATGGGACATCAGCTCTTCAAGCGCCTGAGAATCGAGGCCCTCGAGCAAAAGCAAAAGAAACTGAAGCTTTTATAACTTGTTACGCTAAGTTAGGAGTCATGTAAATATTTGGTTCTTAGTCTTAAAGCTTAAACTTTTAACTAGAAAAACAAATTTGTATACAAAGCCATGAAAAAATAAAAATATAAAACAAAAGATAAAGGCGAGACCAAAGAAGAAACCGGCTGGCAAAATCAATTGCCAAAATGCACTAAACTCTGCCGGATTGCATAACCGTTGCAATTTGGCTAAGGAGGTGTGGTGAGGGGGGGCTTGGACGGTTTTAGCCATGAAACCGGTTGGCCAGCGCGCGAAACTGCTGACCGACAAAATGGCAAAGTGGCCAACTGCAGTTGGAAGCCGTCGGAAGACCAGCGATGACGATGTCTCCGCTCCATTGCCTACTGCATTTTTCGCTTATTTTGAGCATTGTATATTTTTATGATTTTCGTTTGTTTGGTTTATTATCTTTTTGGCCGGCAGTTAAAGGCCTCGTTTTGCCTGACGCATGCAAATGAAGTTCGAGTACTTCAACGATTTCTCGAGGAACTGCCCACAATTACTTCGCAAGTGACTTGCACCTTTATGATGGCAGAATTATTAATGGTGTCTAGTAAAATAAATGACATTTTATTTGTTAACGGAAGAATTAAGAATTATTGATAAATATAATAGAAATTTTCGATACTTCTTAAACAAATTATAAACGCGCACAATTATTTGTTTCAATCCCAAAAATACATTTCTGAAATATTTTGAAGTTTGTTTATGAAAAAGTACAAGCAACCGGTAATAAATTTGTATAACCGATTCGTGATTTCATTCATCCTAAAAGTATGCAATTAAAATGTACTATCATTGTGTCAATCAAAATCACAACGGTATTTCAAAATTTATGGTTGACCGAATCAAATATATTCATTTAAAAATTCACAAAAATAATTAATTGATAATATTTTTAAATATCTCACACTAATATCTTAAATATTTGAATATTTAAAAATAAAATGAATATTTTCAAATACCCCACCATATTTCCCAAAATATTTCAATTAAATAAATAAAACCAATCCTTAGTTTTGTTTTTGTTTTTATTCCTGCAGTTTGTTGTTGTTTTGCGGTTGTTATTCACAAGTAATTTAAGAAAAGTCGACTAAAATGCAGTTATACATTATGTATGTCCTAATAAATACGAATGCGAAATAATTGTGTTGTTTAACAATGAATTAACCAATTCTTGGTGGTTAACATTGATTGCTGCTGTTGTTCTCAATTTGCCTATACTGTACATCATGGTCTATGAGTTGCAAACTAAGTAGATTCCATTGCCAAACGAAAATAAAAAAGATCACGAAATAAAATTTATGATTAGAGCAGATGACGCCAAGGCCGGCAGCAAAGTATTCCGAATGGATCGATCTTGCAGATCAGATAGAAATGTGGCGGAGGACTGCGAAAAAACAAACGGAGAAATGTTGAGGGAATTATCGTATTGAAGCGCATCCCAGGGGATCGTGATTAATGGTACTTACCACTTAGCAGGGGGCTGTTCATCGATCAGCAAAATGCTCATCATGATCGCCGAGCCTCCGAATCCGACAGCTGGTGGCTTTGACGTCATCTGCAAGTGTGCAAAAGATAAGTACAATATTTTCAAAAATTTTAATTTAAAAAACCATCGAACTATTGATTGTAAAATACAAATAATTTCTCCTCTGACGTAAAGTCTCTGCAATTGATAATATATAGCTATATTATTTTCTTGTTTTGTTTGTTCAAGTGGCCACATCGAGATAAACAACATCTAGCATTGCCTTGTTTGTTTCACAGAACATAAGCTTCTTTAAGATTTATTTTTGGTTTTTCAGAATAACTCACGGAGGGATTTCGAAAGCAGATTTGTCTTTCTCAAAAATAGCTAGCAAATATACTTGTTCAAGTTTATTTATCAAAGTGCTAAAAAAATATTCGAAAGCATTTAATAAAAATTAATTATAATTTCCACCTTAGCCAATCATAAATTCTGGCCATAAAAAACTGTCTCTTTGAACATTTTTATGCTTTTGCACTAGGGGGGATATTTTGGGGCGAAAAATCGAAAATGAAAGAAACGTTGAATCACAAAGTTGCGACATTCGGAAAATGCTCTGTGAAAATGATTTTGAATGCTACCCAATGAAGGGGGTCCGTGACGACAGGAAGGTGTTTAGTGGGCCATGTCGAAATCTTGTCGTTAAAAAATAGAAACGGAAATTCTATTTATTATCGAGCTGGCCAAAGCGGCTGCCAAAAAATTTAGTCAAGGTTTTTTTCTCTGGGCGGTGTGAGAATATTTGCCTAATTAGTTAGATGGGTGTGTGACTGATAATTGATTTAATTGGAGGAGCGATTACTCACCTGGCTTAGGTTACTAGTAGAAATCCATTAAATGCTAAACATCTTAAACGCGTAGGGTCCTAGAAGCCCGACCGGACCACAAGATGATGGCATGGCCGGCGGCTTGGAATTGAAATTCAACATGTAAGCTATCCTTGATGGGTGAATGGGGTGGATGGTGGTGGTCTGGTGACTGGGGATGGGCCTAGAAGGCGGCTTCGTAGAAGGCGTAGAGCAGGAACAGCAGGAAGGCCAGGATGAGGAAGGTGGTGAACAAACTTTTGGCCTCATTCATTTTGATTGGGTTCTGGTTGCTGACTGCTGCTATATTGATTGAAAGGGATATTACGGAATTAGGTTAACGATTGTTTGATTAATGAACAGATCACACACTTTTAATTGGGTGACTTGGTTGTCTTGGAGAGATTTCCAACCGTTCGTAGCTAAAGGCGCGCAATAACTGAATTTCCCGATCTGAATTCCACTTCTCCACAAAAAGTTGGCCAGCGCTTGGAATTATTGCTATTGCCTAGGCGCACGCACGCACCCACATAGATCTGGATCCGATTATATAGGGGCTATATAAAAAATTCACATATATACATAGCCGGCTATTTGCCTGTATGGGTGTCCAGTTGTTGCTCATATTTTTTGACGCGGCACAAATATTTTCTAGATTTTCATATAAATATGTATGAATGTATAACGCGGTCTGTATATTTTCGATATATATATATTTTCGAATTCCATGCGATTCTGTGTTCTTTGAAAATTTTTCATTTGCTGGACTGCACCTAGACAAATTGCTTTTTTCCGACTGGACCTTGTCATTTGAAAAATGTTTTATTTATTTATTTCTCGGTCTTTGGTTTGGGAAAGATGTTTTCTTTTCCAGTTGTTTGTTTGATTAACATATTTATTTACTTTTAAGCGAATTATATGTAGATGTACCCAATTTGTTGGGTTAAAACGTTTCCAAATATTGAAGGAATATCGTAAAATCGGGAACATCACGTAGCCCCCATTGAGTTTATGGCACATTTTGGACTTAATGAGCATTTCAAGGTTTGTGATTGATGTGGATTTATCTCGAATAAATTCAATGGGAAAATGGGATAATTGCTATTTTATAAACGTTCTCATTAAGGCCGCAAAATGGAAATAATATGTTAGCTCAGGAAAGGTTGTAAATTCATCTATAAAATATTACACTTTCATTAGCTAAAATTAACATTTAAAATTAATATTTTTTAAAAATGTAATTTCAATACTTTTTAAATATTATCACATTCTTTTGCTACGAACGTCGAATATTTTTTTTTATCGACTAATATTGTCTATTGACTATTGTCTTACCTTTATCCTGCTCCAAGGACCTTCTTCTCGCCGCTATCATTTTACAAGACGGCATAGATGAGGTAAAGGAAGAAAAGCAGGATGGCCAGAATGCCGAAGGTGGTGAACAGGTTACGGGCTTCACTCATGTTGATTGAATTTGCTGCAAACGAAAAGTCAGTATTAGTTTGGAAAAGAGCCAGGCTAAAATTATTCTTTTAATATATTTATATACACGAAGTATTTTTTTATTTGGCGCGTGAGAAGTTTAATTTGAAAGAAACATAAAAAAGGCGGCAATAAATTTCGGCAAAAAACACATATGATTTTGTTTTAAAATAAGCTAATCAAATAAAATCCAAACGTATAGGTAAAAATCTCTATATATAAAGTAGACAGATATCAAAGCCATATGGAAAATATTAAATATTTTTCGGTTTTGTCTACGCCTGGTTATATCTATTTGATGGTTCTGGTTCTCTTTGTATTTCTGATAGAGCAATCAAAGAACCATATGTCTATATAGATTGAAATAATTCCAGTTTTATAGATTGGAACGGTTCCAAAAATTTAATAAAACACGAGTGAGGAAATATTTACGAACACGGCACACTTGAATTCGAATTCTTAAATCCGAAATCTAAATCATTTGACTGGGATCTTTGGGTCACTTCACTGGTCGCCTGCTTTACCTTTGGGTTTTTTGTCCGCTGGGGGAAGACACAATTTCGTGCTATTAACTGCTGAAAGCCTTTGGCTCAACTAAAATCGTTGGCCCGTCCACGAATTGGGATATAGATGAAATACTTAGCGATCTGCAGGCATCCATACACATAGATATAGATTCGTGTGCGTGTATATGTGCTTTTTGATATATGAACATATAGCGAAATATTTTGTCCCATTGGCCAAAGTGAGACGCCACTACCAGGGCAGAAAGTGCAGACTTTTTGGAAAGTCGCGTAGAAATAACATCGAAAATAAATAAAATAAATTTGCGGCGCACATTTTGACAGTTTTCTAGCAGCCGTTGGCCGGATCTGAAGACAAACCACCAACAATAACAATACGCTCATTAAAAATACGCACTCACGCCTCTAGTATATAGTTTGTTCCATTTCTCGAAACATTTGCCTTCAAATTATTGACAGCGTTTTGGAATTTCCGCAAGTGCAAAGGAACTGAGAAACATGAGTTCAAAATTTTGGCGTGGGATCTAAAAGGTTTTTGTTTAAGAGAAACTAGCAAGGGATGTTTAAATTAATAATGTTTATCTGTAACTTTGATCTCTTGGAATTATATTCAGCTTGGGAAATCTACAATACCTTCATTACCACGAAATTCTCTACATCGCATTTTCTAATCAAACACTCACCATATTATCTGTTGACATATAAATACCACCCAAAATTTTCATAAACAACTGTCACACATCTCGGGTCCTTGACTTTTCTAAAAAAAAACATACACTTTCCCTAAGCTGACACTTGTCATTAAGTCAATTTGAAAATGCAATGCGCAAATGGCGCAAAAACAAAATAGCTCGACACAAAATCTATATAAATAATGACCAAGATAATTATGGAATGTCGATGAAATTTCGTCTAGATGTAGGTACTAAAATATTGATGAAATCCTATTGGGAAGTTTGAAATTCATTGAAGAAATTCAGCAAAAAATGTTATTGTCAGAAAGCGTTCTATGCTCAAATAGAATAATTTTTGAAAAATAAGAATGAACCTAATGGAATAACATTTTGTTTTTCAGTTTGAGCCAATGCAGCTGTGACCACATTGCGTATGCGTAATATTTGTTAGATGTGGTTAAGCTTGTTTGGATTTATGATGTTTGGGAGCCTTCTTGGTATTCATGTGCCGCTATTTTCGCAATTATAAGAATTAAGTATATATTTTTAGATCACACTTATAACGATTACGGGCATTTTAATTGTAAAATTTACTTTATATTCCTCTGCCAATATTCTGCACATATGCATATTTATGATCTTAAAATTTCACATGTTCATCAAACCATATTTATAAACAAATGCATCCATTGATGCATAAACAAATATCATTCTGAGTCGATTTCATCAATAGGCGATGTAAGGCAAAGCGGAATTGCAAAGATCTTTAAGGTCAAGGCGAGCTCTATAAAGAGAGCAAAGAGAACTGGGGAACTTTGATAGAATCGAGAATATATAGCTCAATCCGCAGCTTCCGCGGCTTATCAACTCATTAGAGAGTAGGTCCGAGCAAATTTTTGCGCAGTTTTCGTGGAACAAAACAAACGAGCGGACCACAATAGAAATATATAATTAAATGCGCTGGAAGCTTCAGTTTACTTTGCTCGCTATTGTAGTCCAAATAGTGAGGTCTCAAAATGGTCAGGATCCGGAAGTGGAAACGGATTCGGATTCGGAGGTGGAATCGGGCCAGTTCTTCACCCATCTGTACAAAAAGAATCTGCAACAAATGGTGAGGATTAAGAATGACTCATTGGATCCGTGTGAGGATTTCTATGCGCATGCTTGCGAAAACTATGATCGAACATTGGAGGAGAATCCGGATGAATTTCTGCCACCTTACCTGTACAACAAGCAGGACAGATTGAACTTCTTTACGGCTCAGGTTGGAAATTTCGAAACCATACCGGGAATGTTGATCTCCCAACTTTATAAGGAATGTCGAGCGAGGGGAGAGAGCAATGTTTTCGGGGTAACTGCTGAGCCAACTACCCATTGGCAGCGTCTGATGGAGGAGATTCCCTTCCTGGCCAGCCATGGCGAGGTGCTCTCTTCCTGGCCCATCCTGCGTCATCAATGGGAGCGAAGGCAGCTCAATGGGCAGCTCAATTGGATTGCTTTCTCCGCTCAACTGGCAGCCCATGGTTTACCCACCCTCATTCGGATCTACTTTGCCCTGGATACGATTTACGTAAGTCCCATGGAGGAGCTGCCCTGTCCCAGTGTGGAGGACTTCAAGTCGAGCCTATCTGATGTTTTAGAGGGTCGTCATCATCGCGTGCCTCATATAATAGCACATGAGATGCGGGTTCTGTGTCGCGGAATGCGAGGAGAACTACCGCTGGTGAGGAGTTTGACCAAAAATGGCGGTACCACCACTGACAGACCCAGTCAGGAACAGCTCCTTCTGGACGATAACACCATGGACTACTTTCAGCACTTTTTTGCCGCCCTAAACTTTTCCAAGGAGCAACTGGAAAGAGCGAGAAAGTTTTCCTTAAATGTAGAGAAGATCACGCAGGCCTGGGAAGTTTTGAGGCACACGGAACCCCGAATAGTCTACAACTATGTGATGTGGCAGGCCATAGAGCAGCTCCGTTATCCGGATTGCTATCGAGTATCCGAGGAATTCGAGAGGCTACTGCATTCGGAGTACTGGCAATGGCATGTCTTGGGTGCCCATCTAAGCAGAGAAGTCGCCTTGGCTGCCTATCAACTGCACACCACTCGCTTTCAGAAGCTAAGGAGATCCAGTCTTTCCACAAGAGATTGGTATGGTCACCTGTGGCCAGCTTCGGTGGAGAAGAAAGAGCTTCAGGTGGCACGCATCCTGCAGGTTCATGCCCAAAACTATCTAAATATCACGGAACTCAACGAAATCTACGGAGATTTGGGTTTTGTTAATGGCTCCTTTCATGGAAATCTTCTGCTCCTGCGACGGGCTCAGTTACGTCATAGTTTCGTATCGCCTTATTTGGACGAGGAGGATGTCAATCAGCCAGCCTATTTCCTTAGGCACTTTCTCCATTTTGTGCTGCTCTCGCTGCATCGTCCTACTTATCACTACTATGCCACCCAGGGCCTGGAACTTTGGCGGCAATCCGGACTTCTTTTGGACACCGATGGTCGCTACACAGCTATGGATTGCCTCGAAAGGCAATCCTTCCAGCACTACGATGCAGAATCGGCTCCTATTTATAGACAACTTGGTTCGGAGGAGGTAGCCGAGATCTTTCATTTCTATCGTTCATCCCAGGCGTCCATCAGGGACTATCACTTTTGGTTGCAGGGCGAAAGATTCGCCTTTGCCGAGACCTTTGTGCTGGAGTTCTTCGGCTTGGATCCTCAAAAGGTGCTCTTCTATGCGGTGGCCCAGCAATTGTGTAACCGCCAAACGGAGATCTTTACGGCACAACTCAATAGGGGATATATGAATATGCCCGAGTTCCAGGAGGCCTTCAAGTGTGGAGCCCATAAACCCATGAATCCCCCGTCCAGATGTATGATCAATATGTGTGAATAAGTTTTTTTTTTGGATTACCATTTTTAAGCAATAAAATAAGAAATATTTAAAAATCTATACTTATTTTACGAATCAAAAATCAAATAGGTATAATAGTTATATTCACTAGGTAGACATTTTCTATCGGCTAAAGATTTTATAGTTTTTACACATGAAGATTAGCTATTAATATTTTAATGGATTGGACAATATTGCCAATCCAAGGCACACATGTCGCTCGTTTAAAATGTCTGTCCATCTACCATTTATTCGCATTTTGTTTGACATTCCATAGAACATATTGGCACAAATATACGGTTGATAGAAACTATATATACAGTTTGGTTGCGAGTGGATTTCGAGATGAGAAATCGTGGGCGTTCTAGACACACGTACCGGTAATAAATTGAAAAAGCATCAAAAACAATTCCAGAGAACTCTTCTCGCAGAAAAGCAAATATTTGGGGTTGAAAAAATTTAAGTGTTTGCTATTCGCACGTATAACCACATTATGGCCATATTGAATGATCCACTTTATTAAGATATAGGGCTGTGTACATTTTCCTTTCTCCGTCATATGAAATTACAAATCCCATTCAAGTTTGTTTTCATTGACCCGGGTCGGGAAGTATCTCAAGTTATCTATGTGGGTCTTCAGAACGAGACTGAGTCAATAATGGTACCAGATTCTTCGCCAGACCCGATTCCTATAAATGCAAAAGAGCTGCGAGCATTCGCCTTTGTACGTGAGCCAAGATCGCTTGCGATAACAACGAAAAGTTTTCATTCAGTAAACGTTGTTAATTGAAACCTCAATCACGTAGGTAAGTGTATATATAGGTGGTATGAGTGCACATTGTTGAGTGAGTGAGTGTTGTGTGAATGCATTTATGAGTTTATTCCCCGAAAATTATAAACAAATCATAAAGATTTTTGAATTCATAAAGAGTACTTGTGTTTTCAACATGAATTTAGATCGTTATACTTAGAAAGTAAACATATTATTGGAATAAATCAAATTTCTATAATTCTATCTGATTTATAAAGACTTCCTGGAATAGTTTACTTATGACACTCTTGTGACGCTTAAATTCTCATTTCGTTTTCACTTTTCCAACTGAAACTCTCACTTTATAGCCACACTCAAAAAGTACTCACTCATTTGCATATCTCATTACAATTTGGCCAAAATCGAATTGACTCGACCAGCCGGCTCTTAGTTTCTCCAACGTTTTCAGCTCGAACGGAGCTTCATGAAACTGGCAAAGAAATTGGTTTTCAATAATTTAATTGCAGGTGTATCCAGTTAATGCAAAAATGCACTTGCCATGTGTCATTGGTTGGCTGCTTCTAGGTGGGTAAATCTGATTATTTTGTAGGAAGGTTTATTCATTCTCGGATTATTTCCAGCAAGTTTTAGCCGTGAAGCTGTGGGAAGGGGATTTCCAAACCTAAAACCTATTCAAGTTCACGAGGATGGGAGCACCACGGAGAGTTCTACTAATCCCACACCTTCTACTACACAAACACCCTCGAATAGGGACATCACCATAGGACCCTGCAAATGGGCCATCGGTCGAAGTTGTCCTGATCCCGATGTCAAGTATTATATCTACACACGCCACAATCCGATGGATAGACAGTGCCTCCACATAGACGAGACCCTGGAGAAGTCCAATCTGACTGACTCCTACTTCAATCCCCGATATCCCACGAAGATCATCATCCATGGCTACAACTCGGATATGTTTCTGCATCCACTGCAACAAATGAGAGATGGTGAGATATGAAAGTGATATAATGGTTCTAAATAATATATTAAATGCATTAACTTATTTTCCAGAATATCTGGCCAAGGCGGATTATAATATCATCTATATTGACTGGAGTGTCCTGTCGCCAGGACCCTGCTACATAAGTGCAGTTCATAACACCAAACATGCTGGAACTTGCGCCGCTCAGTTAGTAGAGAGATTGGTGGAGACGGGAAATACGGATATCCATGTGATAGGCTTCTCACTGGGAGCTCAGGTGCCTAACTACATAGCGCGGAATCTAAGTTCGTTTATGCTGCCAAGGATTACGGGCTTGGATCCTGCGATGCCGCTATTCATCACCTCTGGCAATGCGGATAAACTGGATCCCAGTGATGCCAGCTATGTGGATGTGATACACACAAATGCCTTGGTTCAGGGAAAAATGGAACGATGTGGTAATATAATATAATATAACATAAATATTATTTAAAGTCATATTTCGTTAATTTCCTTTTTGAGGTCATGCGGATTTTTACATGAATGGAGGGATCATGCAACCTGGTTGTAATGGACAGAAAATTAGTGAGTCCTTTGTCTGCTATTATTATTAATTTAATTTATTAATTAATTTATTATCTTATCTTAAAGATTCCTTTGCCTGCAGCCATCAGCGGGCTCCTGCGTACTTCCTGGAATCCATTCGCTCACCCAAGGGTTTTTGGGGATGGGCCTGCAGTGGATACATATCCTACCTCCTGGGCATGTGTCCTCCCACGAACTTCCTGCTGGAGGCTGGGGACAACATAAGGCCCACTACCAGGGGAATGTTCATGATAGACACCAATGATAGTTCACCCTTTGCTCTGGGCAAGTGGACGGACTTGCCCACCTTGGGGGCGAAGCAACCACATTGGCGTGCTCCGCCACAGAAGCTGAAGGCGCCTCCGAATCAGGGTGTGGATCCGCTCCTGCATCACATCGACCAGTTCGGTAAATTGGCCGCCAACTTTAACAACCTGCAGATGTCTCCCAGTGGACAGGATCCCTACGAGCACTGGACGAGCTTCAGTCCGGAGCAGAAGGAGAACGATGACGATGATGACTCCGTGGAGGAACAGGACCTGGTGGAATTCACCGAGCCAGATGATCGTCAGTTTAGCACGCAAGCTCCCATACTAAGCTGGTGGGATTACAGAAGGAATCTCACATATGGTTTCATGGAGAACAACATATTTGCTGTGCCAACAGTGGATTAGCCCTAATCGATGCTATGAGCTATTGAAAACCCTTCCTTGCCCCATTCCTTACTAATACTTAAGCGTCACTTAGCTGATATTGATACTTTCAATTACAATACCTATAAAAATAGCCCCACAACCTCGTTTTCATTATTAAGTGCATTAGTTTTGTGCGATTTATTAGGTTTTAGTCAAAAAGGGTAAACAAATAGATATTGAAAGAATGTCATGCAGAACATAAACCAAGGTAAGGTGAAAAATCAGACAATACAATTCTTATACGCCCTATGTGCTGAATGCTTTTGCTTTTAAAATCGGACCATTTTTAGACAAAATTAGCATAATACACATCATTTTTCGTTGGATATTTCAATTATTTCAGTTAAATTCAATTTCATTTTTATCTGTTCTATTACATAATATTCGTTGAGTGCGAGCACCGATCTTGCTCAATCGATGATTAAAAATTAGATTCAGTTTTGAAGACACAGTAAAACTGTAATTCAAGCATCATATAATTAAACAATTCCGAATACAATAGCTGTTTTGTATATTTTGTAAATTGTAATAAATTTTTTTTGCCATAATAATTAGAAATGGACTTGTAGAATGTGGACAGCCGGGTCGCGATGTGAGTGTATAGTTTGTTTGTCCTAGGCTCTAGGTTCTGGTATTGAAATCCGTTGAGAAAATCTGGGGTGGGTACATACAATGACCTTTTTTGGTATACATCTGTGTGTAAAAAGGTCCTTCGCCATTCAATTAATCCGACCCGACCGCTGTGTTTGCTATGTGGCTGACTAATTCGTCCGCCAGCTGCCATCCTGCGTCCTGACTACTGAGCTTACAAGTAAAATGCTAATCCGTTATCCGTAATGTTAATGTGCCCCCGCCCTAGACCTTCTTTTTGACGACCCGTTTAGCTCTGGTCGGCGTAGCAGCCACCGGTGGTGACTCGGTCTTGACTGCTGGTGGCGGTACTTCGGCGGCGGGCGCTGCTTTGACGGCCGCTTTGGTTGGCGGTTTGACTGGCTCTTTTACTGGTTCGGGTTTCTCCTCTTCCTTTTCGGTGACATCCTCAGGCTCCGCCTTGATATCCACATCCATTTCCGGCTGCTCCGCGTCGCTAGTCGCCGACATGGGCGATGGAGGAGCACGCTCCTGGTCGGGATCGTCGTCCTCCTGTTCGTGTGTCGTGTTATTTGTGCTGGCCTCCTCCTCTTCGACCACAGAAAGGTGATAGAGCTTCATCTCCTCCTCGGAAATGGGAACTGGGGCGTTCGAGAGTGGATCACGCCCGTTAAGTGACTTGGGGAATGCAATCACATCGCGAATTGACCGCGCGCGGCATAAGATGGCAATCAGGCGATCCAAACCCAGTGCAATGCCACCATGTGGCGGGCAGCCAGACTCCAATGCGCTCAATAAGTGCGACAGGTGATCATGTGGGATCTTCAGGATCTGTTCCAGTATAAAGTGCTGCATGTCACGATCGTGAATGCGGATGGAACCGCCTCCGACTTCCTGACCGTTTAGTACCAAATCGTAGGCCTGAGAGCGTATATTCTCCATGTTCTCGCAGCTCGTGGCAAAGTTATCCAGATCATCACTGTGTGGCAGGGTAAACGGATGGTGAACACTCTCCAACTGGTTGGTCTCACGATTTCGCTCGAACAACGGAAAGTCGATCACCCAAAGGAAGCGGAAATCATTCGGCTTCTTCACCTTGGCGTTCTCCACCAAAAACTCGTGGTAGTCCAGTCGGATGCGACCCAACATGGCGCGCTGTAAGCAAAAGAATTCAATTTAAGAAATAATACAAAATATTAACCCAAGAGTTACTTACAGTTTCCTCTTTCGGTCCAATGCCCAGGAAGAGCAGATCGTTCTCCTCGAGATCAAACTTCTCGGCGATCTCGGTGGCCACCTCCTCGCCCAGCAGCTTGCCCAGCTTGTCCTGCACATCCTTTGTTGGACCGAATTTACGCACGAACAACGTGCCCTTGAACTCCTTGCCCAGACTTTCGTAATGCTTCCGGGCAGCTCCATTCCAAAAGGCTTCACTGGCCCGCACCACAATGGCATATGCGCCGAGATCCTCAAACTTTTCCTTGAAATCGCCGCTCTTTTCAATGATGTCCGAGACATTGTTCAACAGGAAGCCAAACCGAGTGTCCGGTTTGTCAATGCCGTACTTTTCGAGTGCCTCTTCGTAGGTAATACGACGGAATGGTGTTTGCAACCGGGGAAAATCTTTGGGCCACGAATATCTGAGGGTCTCCTCGATCAGTTGCATGATGTCATCCCGGCTGGTGAAGGAAAGTTCTATATCCAGTTGGGTGAACTCCGGCTGACGATCTGGACGCGTCGATTCATCCCTGTAGCAACGAGCCACCTGGAAGTATCTGTCTATTCCTCCGGACATCAGCATCTGCTTGAATTGCTGCGGACTCTGGACGAGCGAATAGAAGTGTCCCGCCTTTCGAGTGGGCACGACGAACTCCTGGGCACCGCCGGGTGTCCTTCGGAAGAGGGTCGGTGTCTCTACCTCGACGAAACCCAAATAGTTTATTAGATACTCGCGCATTTTCATTATGACAGCCGAACGGAGGCGAAGATTATGCTGCATATCATTGAAACGCAGATCCAGATACCGATGAGTGAGGCGCAAGCGTTCGCCAGCTCGATTGAACTTCCGAATCTCGAATGGGAGATTTTTCTTTGCCGGGTTTAGCACAACCACCCTATCTGCTTCCACCTCAACATGCCCGGTTTGCATTTTGGGGTTAATGGTGGCCGCTGGACGAGGTATTACTGTACCCTCCACACGCACAATCGATTCAATGGGCACGCCCGTCTCTACATATTCCTCCAGACCTTCTGTTGTGGGCAGCAAGAGTACCTGAGTCTGTCCGTAGGCATCTCGTAGTATGAAGAACTTGTTCATCCGCTGGAACTCTAGCCAGCCGCAAATGACTACTTTTTCGTTGATTTCATTGGAGCTCAGTTCACCGCAGTTGTGTGTGCGATCGGCAAACTTGTTGGTGTCCGCCACCTTGACTCGCTGCTCGACAATTACGGAGCTGTTAGCAGTGGGAGCTGCGTCCGCTCCATCTTCCTTGGACTCTCCATTGTTGCTGCTCAAACTGGCCGAGGCTTCGGCGGCAGCCTCTTCAGCCTCCAGATCATCGATGGAGAGCTTCTGCTGCTTCTCTTTGGCCTTGATGGGTCCGTCGTAGGGATCGTCTGGGTTCAGGATCTTTACGCTCGACACACTGACCTCCACCTCACCAGTATCGTATTTCTAAGGGAAATTTGATTTACATTTTAATTTGTAAAGTATGCTTAATTTGTAACGTATGCTTACCAAATTAACATTGGCTTTGGGTCGACTTAAGACCTTGCCCACTATCTGAATAACAGTCTGCTCTGGTGTCGACAGGAATGTGTCGCTTAGCTGAAACGGAATAGCATATTTAATAAGTTAGCTGAAGGGTATAAAGTATAAAGGAGTAAGGAATATCTTTACTCACCGACTGATCCTCGATCATGAGTTGCGTCTGGCCATAGCCATCCTTGAGCTGCAGAAATTTGTTGTTCTTGGTAGAGGGAATCCAACCCACCAGGGTCACCGTCTTGCCCACATCATCGCGTCTCAAATCGTTGCAGGTGAGATCGCGGTTCTCAAAGTACTTTAATATATTCTCGTTCTCTGTAAAGGAATTTCAAGTAAGATTACAAAATATAACAATAAATTAAAGACTTTCCCACTCACTGGCTATCTTGTACTCTGTGCTGGTTATCCCAAGATTGCTCTGCTGCTGCACCATGGTGCTGTATGTGCGCTTGTCGCCAGCTCGCTTGGTTCCGCTGGTCGGGAAGTGAATGTTGAGGATGTCCTGCACCTCCACTTCGATCTCGCCCGTCGGCATCGTTTGGTTGCACGAATTGTGGGGCCGACGCATCACCAGACCCACAATGGTCAGGGTGGTGTTCTCGGGCATGTTGTTCATGCGACGCGCCACCCGCGGATGCTTGTCCTCCAGAACCACCAGCTGGCAGGCTCCGCCGTTGCGATCGCGCAGCTCCGCGAAGCGATTCACACGCTTCTTGATCAGCCTGCCGGAGAGTTCGACAAATAATCCGCAGTGGTGATTGCGCAACTCGCCGCAACTCTGGCGCATCGGCTGCGGGGGCTGCGAGTTCATGTTGAAGTTGCTGGCCATGGCACTCATCAGCTGCATCAAATCGTTGCCGGAAATGTTGGGACCACCCACTGGAATTGAGAGAAATATCATTAATAAATGGGAAATTATAATTTAAGTAACTACACATTTTAAAAACTACTATTTATAAAGAACAAATTTTTATATTATTTTATCATTATTAAAATAAAGGTTTTCTCTCTGTACTACATTTACTACATCAAGAATATTTGTTTTATTCATTCTACAAAACTTTAATTTATAAGATTAGAAAAAACCAGGGCCGTAAATAACAGTTATTTGAGATTTTTATTTTAAAAGGCCTACTGAGATTTGTACAATTTTAATCAACAATTGAACTGGTTTTTATGCACTTTATAGACATGAACAAATAGCAGTTAATTTGCTTTGTTGACAGCCATATAATTTGTGGTCAAGAGAAAAAATAACTTTTTTTGACGCAAACTAGTCTTAGTTTTGAAGCTATCGGGATGAAACTTTTCCAAAAGTCTTCTATCTATTGCAGGTAATGTTTTATTATTTATTTATTTATATCTTCTTCCTAACGCTACAAGTATAATACCTATAATTTAATGCGCTACTCACACAGGACAAGTTAATTTTGTGTTAATAATTTTTACAGAACTCTAATTCACAAATTTTAATTATACTTATATTAAATCTAAAGCTAGGGTCGCTGTGTTTATTTTACGTCATGTAAAGTCGGAAACGGCCGGATCAAACAACTATATCTTATAGCTCCCATAGGGATAATCGGAAAAATAAGCGAAAAAAAATTATAGCTTTCATGTTTTTTGGTATATAACTTCCTACTTTTGGGAATAACAATATTTTGACAATTCTGAATTTCGAATTTAATGATCTGCAAGGGTATATAAGCTTCGGCTGGCCGAATTACATAAATTACATAAAGCTCTAGTGTGTTATAAAACATAAATTTCCTAGTTTAGTTCTTTAATATCCGAACAAAATATGAGGACTCAATCTGTCATCTGGAATGTCTGGGGATCTACTTACTGTTGAAGGGATTTGGACCGGGACCGGGCCCGAAGTTGTCATTGAAGCCTGGTCCTCCGCCGCCGCCACCGCGGTAGTTGTCGAAGTCGTTGTAGCCACCGCCATCTCCTCCGTAGCCGCCGCCGCCGCCACCGCGTCCTCCGAATCTTCCGCCGCCGCCGCCACCGCCGCGATATCTGCCACTCATGATCTGCAAATCGAAATGGGGGCTTGATCATGGACAGTTCTTATGGTAAAGACGTGAATCACGAGCACTTACGTGACCGCAATCAGCCGGTTCTTGCGCTGAGACCAACGATTCCGGGGTGCTCCGATGCCGAATGTGCTTTTCCGCCAATAAGCCGCCACTGGATGCGCTGTGCACGAGTTGCTGCTGCAGTTGGAGGCGCTGATGACTTCGCCAGAGGGTCCTGGAAATTAGTAACATTTTTTTGGGGTTTTTTTCTGTTAGTAATTGCTCCCCAACTATTGCCTCATTCAGCGGCCGATATATGTAGGAAAGGAAAAATTTTTTCAGACCCCAGCACGAGCTGAACACACACAGGCGCACACTAATCAGACAGCGGCACACACATATACACACTGTCCCAAAATGCGAATGTGTATGCGCGTATGTGCCGGGCGTCGCGAAAAAGCCGACCTAAAAACTGGCCAATAATTAAGAGCTTTACCGTAATAGCTGGATCGACTGTGGGGCCACAATTACGCCGTGTTCGTATAGCAAAAAGTCACTCAAAGATCACTAAAATCCGGTCCACAAGTGGACTGCAAATTTCCCCCGAATTTTACGAAAAAAAATTGTCACTGTTTTGGCTTGGCTGGTAAAGTGTGACCGTAGGGCAGCAGTAAATCATCGTTCTGGGGATGTAACTATCGAATAAGATTGTCCCCTTTTTATCGATGTTTTTAAATATGTTTTTAATTTGTCCCCTAAATATTAATCAAAACTATAATTTTGAGTTTAAAATTTGTTTTATTTACATGACACTTAAATCCATTAACAAATGCATTCAATAACAATCTATTTGTGTTCATCAGTACTACATGCATGTGCAAAAGTCATACAAAATTAGCTTTGTATTGTGGCAATCACAAGTTTTCTTCTTAACTTGCATTCTGGCTTATAAATTACAAAAAGTACACGGACCCGGTCAGTGCAGATACATTCCATCCCAAATGAGTGGTTTATGGAATCTAACTGCCGTAGTCGGTGCCGTTGAGTGAGGTTTTAAAGTGCTGAACCACATAGTCGTGATAGTAGCACATTATGCACAGAGGTTGGCCGAGAATTATGGAAGCCCACACGATTATGTTGCCCATTCGGGGACCCAGCTTCTTCTCAATCGACTTGGAAATGGCCGAGAGGGGAATCTGGCCCATCATGCCCATAAAGGCCCAGATCTTGTAGGTTTGCAGAGGAACAGAAACCTGTAGGTACACAAGAAAGAATTAAGAGCTTGTAAAAACGTTAAGTATCAGATCTCTTAGTCTTACCAGATATTCGTGGAAGAAGGCACTAAACAAGAAGACAATAGTGGAGGCCTGTCTTGAGGAGTAGCCCATTTGGACCACTGGGATGTAAAGATGACGGACACACCACCTATGGACTGGCATGTTCCAGGTCCGCCAGAAGGTATCAATATTATTGGCATTCCACCAATCACAGTAAAAGTTTCGATCCGCAAAGTTCAGGAGCTCTCCCACCGCATTTAGGAAGGAGTGGAACATGAGGTAGAAAAAGCACAGCCAGCACAGGTGATTGGGTAACTAAGTAATAGAGAAAAAGGTCAACGAATTTATAAAATCTATTAAACCCAAGTTTACTAACCGCCAGTTTAAGGAGTCGCTCGGTGGCCAAGGCCACATCCATGTTAGAAAACGGAATGAGGGAGTTTCGAACCGAGGGAATAATCCATTGCTGGAACAACGCCATCACTACATTCACTCCAATCACCACCTCCAACAAACGCTTGAGCAAAAAGCGTTTGCGCACGCGCGAAGTTCGCGGGAAATTCAACTCATAACAGAGCGTGGGAGCACAGAGGAAGTACAGGAGATCCCTGTAGGTCAGATTATCCGGGTACTGCACTAACTTGGAAACGTCTTCATCTTCTTCACCGCCATCCAAAACACCGTTTTCTGAAAGACAATTAGTGGACAATAAAGAAATATCGAATTCAATTGGCAAATTTTAACTTACTCAGTTCCGCCAAAGTAATGCTGGGTCGACGCTCTCGGGGATTCTTTTGGTAGTAAGTCTGGCGGCACCACATATTAGTCTGCACGTAGGACCAGAGTTTCAGGAACAACACAGAGTAAAAGAAGCAAACGGTTGAGGCGCCCACTATAAGAATTTAATCTTAAAAACCACTTTTATTTATCTTTAATTTTTTCTTACTCAAACTGAAAGCGTGACCTTTAAGGTGTATAGTGACCACAGGCAGGCAAACCAGCACCACAATGTTTACAATCTGGATGAAGATGCCCAAGCCCTCGGCAATGATTTCCTGGAAAATAGATTGGAAATTTAACGTTAATTTAATTTAAATTTAACAACTATCGATAACCAGTAACGGAAATCGCTCCCATCACAAAAACGTCACTCAGACTATCGATAGCCCCAGCCCGCCCCAAGTCCCATCTCCAGATCTGCGAGCATTGTGTGCGAAAAGCCATTTGCGATTTCATTTCATGTTGAAAAGTGCGGCGGAAAAACCCCCCAGTGAAATTATTTAAAACGAACCAGTCCCCCGAAAGGAAAGCAGACTCAAAATGGAAGTGACAGAGGCGAATTTGCAGCTGCTGGCCGGTTATTTGCAGCAGACGCTGAGCGCCGATCCAAATGTCCGCCGGCCGGGTGAGTGTGTGTGTGGGAATGCGTTTGCACACGGACGGCACGCACACAGCTGCACATGCGTGCAGGCGTGCCGTTGTGTGCGTGCGCGGGAAAGACTTTTGGCGACGCTTAGGAAAAATACGGTTTTAAAAAACCCTATGGAGGACCCTATGAGATTTTCATACCCCTGCGAGATTATGAAATAACTATCTACCCAGAATTGAGCCGGACTGCTGATCTTGATAAGACCGTTTCCAAGCAGAGCTCTAAAGCACATCCCTTTTTTCTAGAGTTCTATAAAAATGTTTACTCCACACGTGCTAAGCTTCCTTTTAAAGGAGAATGTTTTAAAATTATTTTTCTATATTTGTTTTTTACGAAAATATAGGTATACGTCTTACCAAGATATTAAAAATGTTCCTAAAATAACTAAATATCCTGTTAAAACTGGTAAAAGCCACTGAATAACCCCTTTAATAATATTTACAATAAGTAAACTTCTCTTTTATCACACTCTAATTTTTCCTATTGTCCATTTTACAGCCGAAAAACTCTTGGAGTCCACGGAACTGCAGCAGAATTACCCGATTCTACTGCTCAACCTGATAGACAAGGCCCAAATGGACATGACCACGCGGGTGGCGGGCGCCATTGCGTTCAAAAACTATGTGAAGCGGAATTGGGCGGCCCACCTGGACAGCGATGGACCGGATCGCATCCACGAAAGTGACAGGAACACAATCAAGACCCTGATCGTAACACTAATGCTCCACTCGCCGGTGGCGTTGCAAAAACAACTGAGCGACGCCGTCAGCATCATTGGCAAGCATGATTTTCCGAAAAAATGGCCGCAGCTCATCGACGAGATGGTGGAGAGATTCGCCTCTGGCGATTTCAATGTCATCAACGGCGTCTTGCAAACCGCTCACTCGCTCTTCAAGCGCTATCGCTTTGAGTTCAAGTCACAGGCTCTGTGGGAGGAGATCAAATTTGTGCTGGATCGCATGGCTAAGCCGCTGACCGATTTGCTCCAGGCCACCATGCAGCTGACCAAGGTGCACGAGAACAATGCCGAGGCTCTGAAGGTCATCTACGGCTCCCTGGTGCTGGTGAACAAGGTGTTCTTCTCGCTGAACTCGCAGGATTTGCCAGAGTTCTTCGAGGACAACATGAACACTTGGATGGGGGCGTTTATCCAGCAGCTGGCCGCGGATGTGCCATCGCTGCGCACTGGCGATGATGAGGATGCGGGAGTTCTGGAGCATCTGCGCACACAGGTCTGCGAGAATATTTGCCTGTACGCCAAGAAGTACGACGAGGAGTTCAAGCCTTTTATGGAGCAATTCGTGACTGCAGTCTGGGAATTGCTGGTCAAGACCAGCCTGCAAACCAAGTACGATGCGGTGAGTAGCGAAAGCAAACTTAACGTCTTCAAAAACTAAACTTTTAATTTATAGTTGGTTTCCCATGCCCTGCAATTCCTCTCCGTGGTGGCTGAGCGTCAGCACTATCAGAGCATTTTCGAGAACCCAGAGATTCTGGCACAAATCTGCGATAAAGTTGTTATTCCCAATCTGGACATTCGGCCCTCAGATGAGGAAATTTTCGAGGACAGTCCAGAGGAGTATATTCGCCGGGACATCGAAGGCTCTGACATTGATACCCGACGTCGGGCGGCCTGCGATCTGGTGAAGACTCTATCCATTAACTTTGAGCAAAAGATCTTTGGCATTTTTGGCCAGTATCTGGAGATATTGCTGACCAAGTACAAAGAGAATCCGGCCGCCAATTGGAGGTCCAAGGATACGGCCATTTATCTGGTCACTTCATGGGCGTCTCGAGGTGGAACTCAAAAGCATGGCATCACACAGACCTCGGAGTTGGTTCCTCTGCCGGAATTTTGTGCTCAGCAAATTATTCCGGAACTGGAGAGACCCAACAGTAAGTGAAAAATCACAAAAACGTTTCATATTCCATCAATCTAATAAATGCCTCTTTGCAGTCAACGAAATACCCGTTCTTAAGGCAGCTGCCATTAAGTACGTAATGGTATTCCGCAGCATTTTGGGTCCCCAGGTTCTGGCCAACTGTCTGCCGCAGCTCATCAGACATCTTCCCGCCGAAAGCCCAGTGGTGCACAGCTATGCTGCCTGTTCCGTGGAGAAGATCCTCACCATGCGAGATGCTAGCAATGCGGTTGTGTTTGGTCCTCAAGTGCTTGGACCTCATGCAACGCAACTCATTAGCGGATTGTTTGCTACCCTCTCGCTGCCAGGATCAGGCGAGAATGAGTATGTTATGAAAGGTGAGTTTGAAGAGCAATTCTTTTCAGTTATTTTCTGTTAACAAAGCTGTTAAATTTTCTTTGTAGCTATTATGCGAAGTTTTGCTGTTTTGCAATCGGCTTCAATGCCCTTTATGGGCGTGGCTCTTCCCCGGCTCACCGAGATTCTCACTCAGGTGGCCAAGAATCCTTCGCGTCCGCACTTTAATCACTATCTCTTCGAAACGCTGGCACTGTCTATCAAGTAAGTATTATGAATTAACTTTCCATGGAACTGTTTTTAATGATATATATCTCCAGAATTGTCTGCCAGGCGGATGCCTCTGCTGTGAGCTCCTTTGAGGAGGCTTTGTTCCCTGTTTTCCAAGGCATCTTGCAGCAGGATATTGTCGAATTTATGCCCTACGTCTTCCAGATGCTTTCTGTGCTGCTGGAAGTGCGCGAGGGCTCTGGTTCCATACCAGAACCATATTGGGCTCTGTTCCCTTGCCTGTTGTCTCCAGCTCTTTGGGACCGGACGGGCAATGTTACACCCTTGATCCGTCTTATCTCGGCTTTCATCAAGCAGGGCTCAGCTCAGATTCAAGCCTTGGGTAAATTGGTAAGCAAACTATTGGAGAGAGATCCTAGAAACAATTTTACTCATTCCCATTTCATCTATTTCGTTACAGAGTGGAATCCTCGGAATTTTCCAGAAAATGATTGCCTCCAAGGCCAACGATCATGAAGGCTTCTACCTGCTGCAGAACCTCCTTTCCTACTACCCAGCCGCGGAAATCCAGCCAAATCTTCGCCAGGTCTTTGGCCTGCTCTTCCAGCGACTGTCTCTCTCGAAGACGCCCAAGTATATAAGCGGCATCATCGTCTTCTTCAGCTTCTATGTGATCAAGTACAGCGGCGGTCAGCTGGCCCAGTTGATAGATGAGATACAGCCCGGCATGTTTGGCATGCTGCTGGATCGCGTGTTCATCACCGAAATGGGAAAGGTTCTCAAGGAACAGGAACGCAAAATGGTGGCTGTGGGTGCCACGAAACTGCTCACCGAGACGCCGGAAATGTTGCAGCCGCAGTATGGGGCCTTTTGGCCACGCCTGCTGCATTCCCTAATCGATCTTTTCGAGCGGCCACCAGAGAAGTTAAAGGGTCTCGAAATCGGAGAGTCGGCAGGAGTTGCCGAGGATCCCGAAGCTGGCTATCAAGTGGCCTTTGCCCAACTCACTCATGCTCAGCCCAACCAGCAGGATCAGCTGGCCGAGATCACAGATGCCCGCCAGTTTCTGGCCACCTCGCTCTCCAAGTTCGCGCAGTCGCGGGCAGGAGAATTGCCAGCTCTGCTGTCTCCCCTGGAACCCGAGTACAAGCAAGTGCTGCAGAAATATTGTGATCAGGCTGGTGTACGCATTGCCTAAAGGAATCGAATCGAATGACTGGGGCTCATTTATCGCAATCAAACCTCGCCATACATTCGCAACTCTTATCTATATAGACGCACTTGATCACTCATTGCCCGGTTTATTGTCATTGAAATATTGTATCTATTGTATGTAAATGTAAGTTTTGTAAACAATAAATAGTTATGTTTTTAAAACTTGCTATGTTATCACTTGGAAAACTCTGCTTTCAAAGGAACAAATCGTTTTGTGTCAAACATTTATAAATTTCCTCATATTTTCCAAAAAATTGCTGTTATTTTAGTAAAACCTGGATATTTTTAAATTTATCATATAAATAGAATAAACCATGCTGAAGCTAATTATGTGCTTAAAGTCGCGATCAAACAAATTAGGCGTAAGATGCTATCAAAGTGAGTACTTACCATGGCAAGACCCTTTTCCACAGCCAAACAGAGGGAAATGTGAACCAAAGAGTCTGCAAAATATTTAATTGTTTAAATTGTGGGTTGGTAATATTTAGAATCTATATACTTACAAATGCTGAGGATTAGGGCATTATGACCCTCGCCTTCATTGTGACCGCTTATGAAAAAGATCCAGTCCAGGGGATTAATGCGAATGCCATATCTTAGAAGTGATATAAAAGGTTGTTAAATTTCTTCACATTTTCGTTTTCCGAAATACTTACTTTAGCAGGTTCTCTAGACCCAAGCGCAGGCCACCAATGCAAAGCAGTAGAAATCCCCAGTTTACCAGGCCTGTGAAGTTAGTGAATCCAGAGCTCCAGGAAAATAGCGAGTCTCTCGGCCGATGGATCGGTCTGCCAGGCTGGGCCCTTCGCTGCTTTTCCTCTTTATTGGAAATTTCCTCAGCACGGGTTACACTTTGGGTTCTTCTATATCTCAGCTTCTTCTCGGAACCATTCGTTCCATTACCGTTCTCATCCTTATCCAAAACTTTACGATACTGCCGCAGATCGATGGGATTGCCATGCTGATCGAAGAGGTTTTGGGTTGACTTGCGGTTTCGCAGACTGCTTAGATTGTGTTCCGTGGCAGAGGCTGATCTTCTCAAGCGTTTCATGATTCCCACACCAGCGGATCCACCGTTCTTGGTGGGTTGTTCTGCCTTCCCGGGCCCCTTATCTTGGGGATCCTTATTGGTGGTCATGATGGTCTAACACTCTATAAAGAAATTTGTATTTATGATGATTAGTTTTTGCTTATCGCAAATTCTTTTTGCCATTGAAAGCAAAATACTAAGATAAGATTTCTTTTGGTAACCCATATAAAAAGTTTAAGTACTTTTATTTTGAATCAGAAATAACTCGGATTGGAACTGCGTAGGCTGCAATCAGTAATGGCTTCGCTGGAATCGGTAATCCATTGACTAAATACGCAACTCTGATAAGTAATGAGGGTAATTAAGTAATGGTTTTATTGTTTTACTGATCTATATAACACGTTTTATATATCTCTAATTTATTCGCAAATAAATGGGCCCAGACCCACCCAGAAGCAATTTCCGCAACTACGGTCAAAGCTCATCCGACTCTGCGATTGCTGATTAAGTAATCAGATACCGATTTGCATAGACATTGAACCCGCAAATGATAATGTGGTTAAGTTGTCTAGTCTATAAGCCAACAGCTTCTCACTTGAGTCGTGTAAAACCAGTTGTAAACTTGCGACGATCGTACTTGGCATTAGCTACCTGAGTCAAGATCGCATGTCAACTGGATGATCACCAAATGGCAGGGCATTATCAGCATTCAGCCTCGTTGAGTTCATTAAATATCACACCCAACCGTTGCGAAGCCAAATTAATTGACTTTCTGGAACCCAAAAATACTTTATAGTTTACTGTATCTACAGATTCTATTTTTGAATGATTGTTTCTAAGATTATAGTTAGGGATTCGCACTCACGTAACTTGTTTATGGCGAACAACGAGTGTCAAGATACGATTAGGAAATTGTTGTTTCAGCAATTGTTTAATATTTTTTAATTCAGTATAATAGGTACATATATGCAAGCAACTTCCATGACGAAATTTGAGGGTTATCAGTTGAAAGGAATTCTTGAGTAACAGTATCTACGTCACTTTATGGAGGCAACAATTTTAGTTAATAGTTTTATTTGACTAGTTTCTTGATACCTTGTTTATTTGACATCAAAGTTCGACTACTATCGCTGCTTATCGCGTATGCATTTAAAAATCAATTTAAAATTAATTTACAGTGGGTTTCAAAGCTATTCATTGGAATACTGGCATGCAAAAATATTAAAGTAAATATTTCTAAATATTCGAAGGTTAAAAGAGAATATATTTTTGTTTTTTACTGCATATGGGAACGGAGAAGTTTTTTGTGCTTTTTAGTGTTCAATTAGTATTCCATTGGCAACAAACACTAAGTTTTACATAATTATTCAGTGCGTTGAACTGATCCAAGTGCAAGGAAGACATTTAAACGTATACTTCAAACATATGTGTCCATTAAATGCAGAACGATTTAAGTCGAGTCACCGTGACGCAACGTCATCGAGAACTCGAAGTCGAAGCTCGTCATGGCTCATCAACAGCATGATGAGTAATTATCAGGCTTGTGGGACCAAAGCAGTACGATGCGTATAAAAATATATACATTACAGATCCGTGTAAGAAACCAGACAAAGGAGGTCAAATGGGATGACAATATAAAGTTTTATCAACGGGTTATTCCTCACAAAAAAAATTTGGAAAATATATATTTTTTTCAAAAAAACATGGAAATGTAATTAATTAATTTATGTTCTAAAAACTAATTTTTAGTGAAATTACTATTTTTGTCATTACTGTTATTACTATGCTATTATTTTGGACCCTATTGTTTGAATGGATATGTCAATGCATATGCACATGTATAACCCGCATGTGGCAAAGAGAACCGAACCTGAATTGAATGGCCGCTGCGGTTTGACGATTAGTTTGTTGAACTTTCGGTTTATATTTAAACAACTTAAGGTGGGGGCGTCCCAGCGGTAACTTCAGCACTTATCTGGTCTACGCAGATGTTGATGGGTCGCCTGTCTAGTGAACACTGTTTATTTTATTTAATGCTGCTAACTACGCCGACCTTAACTTTTTGAAAATATTCCAGACACTTCAAGTTGTAGCCTACTTGGTTCGATAATTACTGCCGGAACCGGTTGCCGTCATATAAGGAAGAACTTCCCATAGCAGCGATAAAAGTAGGTCAGTAACTCAAGTGAATCCATCAACTTGAGTGCTAAGCGTCTCCCGATCGAACGGCGATTGATAAAGGTTATCAATGCTGCGGTTCATAAACTCGGTGATTGCATAAGCCCCTCGTTATCATGTTGCCAGGGTAGACATGTCTGGCTGGGCCACCCTAATCACAATTAACTTGCCCCTTACAATGTAAAACGGATGCAGGCGTTCTACAGTCAAGATGCTATAAGTAGATCTATAGACACTATAAATTTAGAACTTGAAGAAAATTATGAAATTTTATACGAAATTCTGCAATAAAAAATTGTTGTTCTACTCTGGAGAATTAAAATATTATATGTTCCTCTTGGGCATTATTTATATAATATTGGACATTTTTTCGGAGCTAAACAATTTAAAATATAGAACTGTTAAGATAAGAGGTTCATTCTAGGAAAGTTCCACTGTAGTCCCAAATGTCGAGAGGAAAAAGACACGAAATTCGCCGGCTGCTCTCTAATCAGAAGGCAAGAACACTGTTCTTATCAGCATTTGACTGATAATTTCTAATTGGAATGGAATTTGTTTTTCCAACCAGACACACACTCTCTTTTTCTCTTGTTGGGTCGCGTTTTATCTCTGATCAGAAGTAGTCTCTGTTTGGGTTTTTGGCGCTAACCGGTTTTTTGGCATAGAAGTTTGTTTGGTTTTTGTTTGGTTTTCACTGTTTGGTTTTGGTTTTTTCTGTTTGATGGCGACGACGCCACATTTCGGAAATGTTTTTTAATTTTTTTTTTGTTCAGGCCGCGACGCAATGCCCGGATCAAGGTTATATAGCCATCGGGCAAATATATGCACAGGCATTCACACAATTTAGCTATATGGGCATTATCACCGCTCATTCAATTCAAGGGAAGGCGGAGATAGTTTCACTAATTTATGATGGCTATATAGTATGCATAAAAAAATAGAGGTACTCTATTTGATTAAACACGATTTGTTGCTAGTTTTTATCAGTCTGGCTGCTGTTATCATAAAAATAAAACCGCCTTAATGGCTTTTTGAGTCACAATATCAAAATCACTTTGCACGTGTTTTTATTTATTTTGCATTCTTTGTGGCCAAAAGAAACACATTTCCGTTTGGAGCAACTGCATTCGCAAATCTTCTTCTTATCCGTTCAAGTTCATTACTCCGCCTTCATTAACTCCAAACAAAAGCGAAAGTTGAAGAGAGAACGAAGATCGCTTGGGGATGGGGAGCGTAAACAAAACACACAAAAAACTCGCACACTTGATTATTTATTTTTGTTGTTCATTTTCTGTTAATAATATGTTATTTTGTTACTGAGCTTAGCACACCTTGCGCACACAATTCAATTCAAGCGTCGAGTGGTTGATTCTTCTCACAAAAAAGAACCGATCTATTGTCACGCACTGGAAGCGCTTTCTTTTACCGTAAACCGCACTCTTCGGCGGAGAATTCTCGACTGGCGCTTGGAAAATCCAATTGGAAATAAACAAAGCGACGCGATAGGTCGGACATCAGTGGTGGCGAAGATTTGGCGGGAAATAGCTGCTTTGGGTGGGAAAACGAAATTAGTGAACCAAAAAAGGTTTATTAGATCAGGAAAAAGGTTCTTAATTATTTATTAATTAAATAATTATTCTTAAATAACCGGTAAAATTCTGTCAGCACTGCCAGGCACAGGTGGTTGTGTTATCGCTATCGAGCGTCTAACGATCGATATTTACTGGAAAGCGTTTTTTGGCGCCTAGCTTGAATTAGTGATATTGGTATGGCGATTTGATGTTGAATAAAAATATTATTTAAACGGAGAAATATTAAAGAACTGCTTACAAGTTATTTTATTTATAACATTTTTGCTTAGTTACTTTAAATTAAATCAAGCAAATACTTACTTTTTTTAAACGCTTTGTAGAGAAGGCGAACCCATGTAGAAGACTTGTTAGTCGACAACTAGGTGGCGCCCCCAATCGATCTCCTTCATAGGTGGCGCCAGAGATTTTCTTTTGATTTTAATGTTTAAGTTTTTATTATTGCTCTTTATTTGCAATTTTTTATTAACAACTAAAAAACGTAAGTGAAAATTTCAATAATTTAATGCTTAATTACACAACGAAAACTCTTTGCTCGAATTATATTGGGTATAGAGTGCAGTCACATTGTGACGCCAGCAGGGCCTACAAACTAACAACAAATAAATACAGATTCAATTAAAGCTGACTTATGTACAAGAACGTATTAGGCGTGAGAAAAAGTTTCTGATAGATTTGGTATAGAGCGCAGTTTAAGAAAAATGCTTATCTTGGGCTAGTGCTGCTGTCGCCTCTCCTCGATCTCGTCTTCGTTTTCGTCCAGACCCTCGATGAGGTCTTCTAAATCGTCATCCCCATCATCCACAAATTGATCGATTCGTTTGAGTAAATTGTGTGACTCGTCGGCCTCCTCCTCTTCATTCTCCTCTTCATCTTCCAGCTGACCATCGGTGGTCTGATCCTCTTCCCCCAGCTCCTCCTCATCATCATCATCAGCGTATTCGATAATATCGCTGGCGGTGACCCCGTCTTTAATCCGTGACTCTGGCAATTGATCATAGTCAAAGACCTGACGCGTTGCTCGAGGTGGTGTCTCGGTGGAAATCGGTGACCCCAGATCTTCACTATCCTCCTCGAGGAGACTCTCTATGGACCCCGCCTTGCTGGAAATCCTCGGTTCCGGTTGCTGGGCCATCAACTTGGTACTAACTGGCTTCAGCACGGTGCTTGCGGTGGAAGTAACCACTTGAGGTGGTGACCCAGTGGACGAGGCGATCTCGTGGGCATCGGCAAACATATTGTCCAGTAGACTCAGCAGATCATTGACACCACTTGGAGGTTCTGCCACCGAAGGGGTAGTACTACTTATAGGTACTTTAGTTGTAGTAGTCTTTATAGTTGTGGGTTTAGTACTGCTAACCGGAGAATTGGTAGTGCTGTAGACAGGAGCTCTTTCGGGAGCTTTAGTAGTTGAAGGTTTCACGGTTGTGGGTTTGCTAGTCGTAGTTGTGGTAGTCATCGGAGTAGTCTTAGTGTGCAAATGTTTGACCTGATAGGAATCCACAGTTCCCCTCTTCTCGTTGGGATCAGCTATCCTAACCACGGGCTCCCTCTTCGAGATAACCGGCACTATCTTGGGACTATGTGGATCCAATTCGTTTTGGCCATAGGTCTTAACCTTGGAGTGACCCTCGATGATGAGGTACATGGGTCCCAGTAGGGGTTTCGGTGGTTGCTTGTAGTGGGAGAAAAGCGAGTCGGTGGTGGGTTCACTCGGCGGAGGAGCAGGAGCCACTGTGGGTCTCTGCGACAGATTGCTCGTCTGGGGGATGAGCAGGCGATTACTGGTCGTTGTTGAGCTGGTTCCCAGATATACGGGAGTAGTTGAAGAAGGAGTGGTTCCCACGGTGGAGGTGGTGGTGCTGGTCATCAACATGGGTCTGAAGCCCGAGCTGCTCGTCTGGGGAGTGGGTGTGATGTAGATCTCCGCTGGCTGAGCGGTGGCCACCGTGGGCACTGCAATGGTGGGTGGACCGGGGACAAAGGTCACGGGTGCATAGGTAAACGGTGAGCGGGTGGAACTGATGCCAAAGCCCCCTGGTGGCAGTGGGTGATGCGGCTTACTGGTGCCCATCAGATACTTGGTCGCCGGCATTGTGGGCTTAACCTTGGGCTTTGCGGTAGCCACCACCACCTCCTTCTGGAGCAGCTCGTGCAGCCAGGGTTTCCTTAGTCCCCCCGTTTTTGGTCCACCCTGATGGCCTGGCAGAGAATTAGGCGAATAGCTGAGGTGATGGGGCCTCGAGAAGCTGTAGGTGTGCATGGATTCCTGGAGATGTGGGTCCGAGTAGCTCAGCCTATGCGGTGGCATGCTGGTCATCCAGGGTGTGGACGATGACAGCGATGAATGGTGACCCATCGAAGGTTGATGGTAGATCACCGACGAGGTCATCGCCTGTTTGGGCGTCGGTGAACTCATGTGGTTGTGTTGACTCATATAGGAGGTGGGTGCTCCGGTGGCCATCATACTATGTCTGTACTCCAGGTGGGGCGGCGACTGGGGCGCACCACTCGATTTCATCATCATCATGGGCGGTGGCATGAGGTGGGTGTGCGGCATGTGCTGCTGCATTTGTGGGCCGTGCTGAATATGCTGGGTGGGAGCATAGTAGCTCCTCCGGATGGCCGCATATTTCGCCTGTTGCTGCTGCTGCTGTTGGTGATGATGAACTGGCGGATAGGAATGGGAGTGGGGCACCCTAACCCGTTCACTGGCCACTCCGAGGAGCAACACCTCGCTCTTGGTCTTGTTGCGCAGCACCTCCGGCGGCAGCTCCTTCTTCCTGGCCTCCGGATTACTCTGGCCCGTGCTGTTGTTCTCCGCCCAATAGCGAACGCGATCCAGGGCCGGCGGACTGTAGTCGTAGGTGGGGTCCTTTTGCAGCGGATCCCCGTGTCCCAGGGGTCGCCACTCGTTGTTGTTGTTCGGATCCAGCCGTTGAGCTGCGAAAGAGAAGATAAGACACCGCCGGTGGTAGATGATTGAGTGCCGTATCAATTTACTTTTACATGTGCAACTTTAATTGCCCCCCGAAAAATGGCCGGGGGGCATCTAAGCTGGAGATTCAGCGAGGAGCTGGGAGCTAGGAGACATGCGACGAGGCTTTGCAGCCAGAGACGGGCCAAATCATAACTCGTTAAAGTGTTAACAAATGTTTTTGTCCCGTCACTTGGTCAAGTCAATGCCGGCATCCTGGTTGCTCAAAGCGAGGGAAGGTTAAGGATTTTTCTTGCTTTTATTATAAAAATTATAATGTTTAAATTTTATTGATTTATCGGTATATTTATAAAATTGTATAGAGAAGCAAAAACCATCATAAAAGTTCTGTAACAAAATTACTAACCATAAACAAATCTTTAAATAATCGTATTTAAACAATTTTTTCCAGAGATTTTGTTAGCGTGAATACTGACCCAAACCATAATTTATTTATTCTCGAAAAAATGTATTTATCCTTTCTTTTAACACTTATTTCTATCAAAAAAATATTTATTGAATCTTAAAAAAATTACCAAAAGATCATCATAGTTTTTTAAGGATTTCGTTTAAATGTTGCAAAAATATGGAATTGAAGAACCATATTTAATGTTGCAAAAATATGTAATTGAAGAACCATATTTAATATATAAAAGAAAGTAAAACATACCGAAGAAACTACGATTGTAAAAAAATTAATCTTATGATCTGCTCAAACCGCCCTCGTGAATATCTAACTTCAATTGCTTTTGAGCAGTTTTTGCATAAATTGATTTTAATGCCTGCGGACAGTGTGCAAGATTGGAGTTCCAGTCGATTGAACCCGAGGCCCCAGCCTCTTGCCAGGTTGGCATGGGATGAGCTCCGTTTAGCTCCCTCCGCCATGTGGCTCCTAATTAAGCCAAAGTCAGAGGCCAAGCCGCCAGAAAAGCTGTGATCCCCAACGCCCACCTGGCAGCCAGCACTAACACTTGGTGGCTCCTCCGTCGGCAGGCGTTGATCAGTGGGGGCCATGACCAAGGCAATCAGCACGGCAAACAGACAGACAGCCAGACACAAAGTCGCATTGGGTCGACTCGGTTTTGGCTTGGCTTTGCTTGATTGACTGATCAACGGACTGAGGAAAAATAAATGGCAGAGGCGGCGAAGGCGATGGCGATGGCGAAGGCGAAGGCGACGACTGCGAATGCGGAGGCCTGATAAATTATTAGCTAAAACCAGACAAATCGCTTTCCATTTGAGCGGTTGCAAAGGCATGCGGAGCTATAAGCTCCTAAGATACCAAGCTGCCAAGCTCCCAGCTCCTCGACGTGAGGACATGCACATGGCTGAAGCGGAAATGGCCACTCATGCATCTTGATCTCCTTCTAGCAGTTGGCTTTTAATACGCTTACCAAAAAGGCTATCGAATTGAAGGTTTTAGTGTGGTTTATTATAGAGCTTACAATTTTATTATCTTAAAAAGTTAGTTTTCTTTTGGTTTAGAGAAAAGTTATTCGTATCCTTGAACTATTGCTAATCTTTCGTTAAGAATTATTATATAATAAACTATTGTTTAATTACCTGTTTAAAAAAAACTCCTCATAAATACATATTGTACACAATAATCCCACTTTATTGTGTTTTAGAAGGATATCCTACTAGCATTTAGATTTTTTATAATATAACAAAAGAACAATTTAAAGAAATAATTTTTATTTATTCTTTTATCTCATCGAAATCGAAAAATATTTATTTGCTTGAGTAAAATATGAGTAGAATATCAATTTTAAAATGTAAAAAATTTTTTTCCAACCTTTTACTGATCTTGTTATTTATAAATAATTTAATTTTTTTTGTTTTTTATGTTTCCTATTAACTGCTTTAAACTTTATTTTTAAACCAACTTTTAAGGGTATACACTGCGTCGATGAGCCCTTCCTTTTCAATTTCATAATGGATGGGCGTGCTCTGCCCACAATGGGTAGGCAGATCACTTTACCCGGAGCCACTTCAATACCATTTCAATCCATTCAATCCCACCCAATCGAGCACTTGCATCTGGATCCCATTTATCCTTGCATAATTGCCTGTGACCACGAAACAATGTTGCCAGACGATTTTCACTTTCATTCGCATTAAAATGCCTCGCATGATTGCGTTCAAAATTGTTTGATCTCCTAATGCTGGCCATTAAAATAGTGCCCACTCTCCGTCTCCGCACCCAAGCACCCAATTATGTTGGCGAAACAAAATCAAAGTGCAAATCTTTCATATTTTTTCATTTTGCTGCGGTTGTTGTTTGTTGTTCGTTGTTCGCTCACCTGTTGTCGCACCGGGCGTTAGACCAGCCTCATCCTGACTGCCATTCGTCTTCGTCTCCAAAGTCTGCGACTCCGATGCGGTTGTTGATTGAGCCAAGACCTCGATCACATGGCCGGAGGCGGAGGCTCCGTGGAACAGGAGGAGCTGCAGCAGGAGGAGGTGGAGCAGCAGGCCAAGTATCGTAACCAAATCGCGGCTCTTGTGGCGTTCACTAATCATCATCGTGTGGCCGGCTAGTCGGTTCGTTGATCGTTGGTCTCCGGGTTTTTCGTCTCGTCTCGTTTCTCGTCTTATCTGGAATTTTCGTTAAATTGTTCAGTTTCGGTTATGACTCGCTGATGATTTAATAGCCAACATCGATTGTGTCCGCCGAACTTGATCTGTGCAATTTCAGCCACCGCAATTGATTCTTAACTATTGGATAACTATATAGCGGACGTGAATGAGGAAGTTTTTGGCGCTTGTCTTGCATTCGACTCACTTAACAGGTTGTTATCCAGATTGCTGGCCAGTTAATTTGGAGTGGCTATGAAATTCAGGTAGCCTTTTAGTTGCGATCATAAAACGGAATGTCAGTTTAATATAAAAAAAACTAAAGAGTAAAGAAAATTAACCTTTCACTTAGTTCGGTTTATTAATGAAAAGGTATTAAATTGCAAATTGATTTAACAAATCGGATTTTAACAAGGCTTGTGGAGGGAATAATAATGGTAGGATATAAAAAGCGATAAGAAGGAGGCGACTGGAAAATATAAAACTTAAGTGAGGGAAAATGTCCTAAAACGAAATACCACAAGCATTAACCCAACGAGGGAAATGGAAAAATTGTGATGGGAATGATAAATGAATGTCCTAAAAAGGATATAGGAGGGTAATAAAAAGTATAAAGATTTTAGACCAGGAACCAAAAATAGTTTCAATTGTAAACAAACTGGTTTAACTCTTTTTTTCCAAAAGTTTATAAATACGTTAGTTTAAAATAACTGTGAAAAAAATATTTTGCGAAGACAGTTATTTACAATATTAAGGGAGTTATAATGGGAATCAAAAGGTTATTATCGGTGTTATTTTCATACAAAGACTTTTTTGCGAAACGAAAGACTTCAGCAACGAACTTGAAGGTTTTAGGTCGCCAGAAACACATTGCTTAATCGAGACCAGGAAGTAAAAATATAAGATTTTGTCTATACAATTTCATTGCTTCTACCATTGAAAATATTTTTAGAATAACTTAAATCTAACTGATCGGTTTAAAGGGTTTTTTATACTTCATTCCCACCATAAAGTCTCTGTTCGATAAAAGAAGCTCCTCCTGGCCAGTGAAAATTTCGGGGATCAAAGAGATTGATTCGATTATTTCATAATTTATAGCATTATGCGGCAGAGGGCAGACAGCCAACGTGAATGACCAGAAGACTCCCCGGAGACTGAAGATTGGAGAAGGGAGACTGACGACCGGTAACCGGCGATCAGAAGATGCAGTCGACCTGGGTGGGCGGCGGCTCTTCTCCTTTTGGCTTTCTTTCTTCTGCATTTCCTCTCGAAGATTTTGGCCCAAGGGCTTCTTATCACCATCTCCCTCCCCAGCTGCATGTCATCTTTGTCTCTTTTTTGTTTTGCGAATATTTTTTATTCCCGGCTTGCGCCTGCCGGTTAATTCGTTCCCATCGAAAGTGAAACTTGTGCTTTTTGATCATAAAAGAAAATTTGCATTTATTTCGCAGCAGCTTCGCGGCTTTCTTGTTGTTGCCGGCGTGCTGTTACGCTTGTTGTTGCTGTTGTTGTTGCTGCTGCAACGCGCTCGGCGGCAATCGTAAAAATTAACTTGATTACTACACGCATAAATAAAGCCATTAAATGGCAAACATCTTGCTATGGCGGCAATTAAAATCAAATAAAATTCGCCGACGGTCAAGAAGAAAAGTGGGATGGGTTATGACGGCCTTGTAATTGAATATAACTTTGGACCGGCCAACTTTTTCAGCAAACAACAAACATTTTCCAAGTATTGCCACTAATGATGGTCGCAATTTCCCCCAATTTTCCACTAGTTTCCTCCATCGAAATTATTGCTTTTTCATGAGGTAGGCCTAACTTGTTTTGTTAACGCTCTCGTTTCGCCTGAGTTATTTAATTGTCTTTACTGTCTTACATCGCATTTGCATAATGCGTTTAATTACGCATCATTTCTGTGTTATTTAATTTTATTGGCTTTACATGACAAGAGAAATGTGTTGGTCGCTAAGTGAGTGTTGGCGGTAATTGTATAATGTGATTATCGGATAGGCAAATTATAGACAATTTATAACATTATCGGTATGATTTTTAATGTTTTTGAATTCTTTAAATATTTTACTGGAAGTTTATGAAATGTAGATTCATTTTGATGATTCCAGATTTCTATTAGGTAAGCCATCAGCCCCAATTTATTTTATCGGAAATGTCAGTTGCCTTTTATTTTTATATATTTTTAATAGCTGCAACTGAAAGTGGTCTCGTAAAGTGCCCAAGTTAAGGATTTTCTTTATCAAATCCTCTTAGGCGCCTAGTCATTACACCTGCTGCAATAAAAGTGGCCCGATTTATTTCACAACTTTCGAGCAATTCCCAGGCCTTCGACCCCTTTTGATGGCCACTGATCGCGGCAGCCCACGCCATGTCAAAACTATATGAACGCATCCAACTGAATGCGTCCCCCTATCATAAATGCACTTTCGTCTGGGGTATCTTAAAAGCAGGCACTCAGTCACTCAGTCACTGCCCACAACATCAAAACCCAAAAGGCTCAAAAGAAAAACACTAAGATGCACTCGAAGCGACAGCTGTTAAGTGGACGGCTAAGCCAAAGGCAGTTAAATATAAAAAGCCGATGAGCAGGCAAACAGACCAATAAATAGACAAACAACCGAAGCACAGACCAAATATCCATTCAAGTGCGCGACATTTTTTATGCCAGCAGCAATAGCAACAAGCAACCTGCAACCAGCAACCTGCAGCAGCAACACAACACAGGCAACAAGAAACTGGCGCACTGAGATGCATACCAACATGGCAGCGTATTAGCCAAAGACAAATACTAATTGCAGCCAAAGCAACTGCCAACAGAAGCAACTGCCACAGCGGCAACATTAGCTGCAACCTCAGCAGCATCAGCAACATCAGCAGTAACAGCAGCATCAGCAACACCAGCAATATCAACAGATGCATCAGCAATTGCAATTGCAGCTTCGGCTTTTTGTTGCCGGCAGTTAATTTCATTTAAAGAATGTCATCTTCACTTTAAGTGAAAGATAAATGCATCGAGAGGCCCGGGAGTGCCTGGAAAATGAAAATGAAGTGGCTCTGCCCTTTCTCTCCTTCTCGCCTTGAATCGGCTCTTTCATTCTGTACACACGGCGTATGAGTGATGCCCGTTTGTTTGTCTGTTTGTCTGCTGTTTTTCTTTTTGTTTTTCTTGTCGGCATAAGCGCCGGCTTAAACTCCATTCAGAGTCTTAATTCTTTGCGCAAAGAGACGAAACATTCGATTTCGCTGGCGAAGAAAGGTGCAATTTATGTGCAGCATCCGCAGTCATGGATTATACCATTGAAAACCGAGAGTTGATTGATGGAAAATGCGTGAAAATGGTCGTGGACAATGGATCGTGACCAAGTGTTGCTAGTGAAATGTCACTTTGGCTATTCTTGATTTTATTTAGTAAATGCTAAACAGATAAAAGTATATCTGATTGGGGAAATATATTTTTTCAAGTCTACTTAGACGTCCTATAAATCTATAAAAATGTTTTAAATAATATATTGAAGAAATCTTGGATATTAATTATTTACTTTTACTTTAAATATTTTTTAAGATTATAACGAATGTTAAGCTTCTTTGGATTCTAATATCCTAAGATATTAGTCATCCCTATCTGTAAAAGCACTATTATTTATGTGGCAATTATGAAACCATCGAAAATGTAGTAAACATGATCCTTACTAATCAAAAACGTTGGCTAGCTATCACTTTCAATAAGTAATTAACACAAATCGCAATGAATAATCGTAGATGATTTACTCTGATCTTACATAGGCTTACAAGTTGTTTCAGTATTCAGAAATACGATCTATTAACCTGTTTTCAGACTGAACGTTTCACAATCCTAATAGATTTTGTAGCATCTTATTAATTTTCGGAGGCAGATCCTTAAAAAATTATAAAATTTAAAGATTTTCAATTACTGTTTATAATCGACCAACATCTTTTCTCTACCATCTATTCTTTCACTTTCACAAGCTTACACAATCTAAGCAGGATCTTACATCACCTTATTTTTCCGGTCACTGGGATAAATATTTCCACAATTTCGCAAGCAAAGCGTTTTATATTCTTTAGTTTTTGATTTTCAATCCTTGCGGATTTCAGCGAATATTTGCACTAACTAATTTGCAGTCATTTCCTTGCCGACAATTGTCACAAATCAATAATCAAACACAAAGCCACTCGGCCGGACAGCGGGGCTGGCCAGAAGACATTTCATTTCATTCAGTAAATTTCACTTTTAAACGACCAGCGCGACCGACCGATGAAGATAGCAGCTCTTCGAGCTTCTGCCGCCGAAACCGACAGACATTCGCACGGCCTCGGGTTTCGGGACACAAGACCAGCGACTGGGGGATCTCGATCTTTATGGAGGAGCTTCAGGTTTTCTTCGCTTAGCTTCGATTCGATTCGCTTGGCGCGCCAGTGCATCCAGCCAGTGCATCCGTTTCAAAACGCGTCCGTTTGTTAACTGATTTCGCGTGGTCTTGGCCAAAACTCAAATTCGAAACTGTTAAAGGCGGCAGCGACGTCGGCGCAGGCAGCGTACCTCGGCTGAGATTTTCAGGTACAACGAACCAGCTGAAAAGCCAAAGCCTGCACTTGTCTTCGTGGTGTTGCTGCCGTCGCAACGCTTTTGGCCAACGCTTTTGACCAAAGCCAAAGCGAATCCATAAACACACGCGTCGCAGTCGCAGTTGGCCGTCTCAGTCGGCTTCGCCACCAAAGTTGTCGCCTTTTCGCTTTTGTTGCTGCCTGTTTGGCGATGATTGTTGCCGTTGTCGTTGTCCAAAGCCAGACTCACTTTTCACTACCTGCAACATGTTGCTGCCGTCGCTGGCCAAAAATTCTATATTAGAAGACTGTAAAATTACTTTCTTGTGCTACAATTTAATGGTTTACTTTAACGATAGTTTAATTTTCTGTTATGTTTCTATATCGTTTATATTATTGAGAATTTTCTACCCATAAAGGTGATGTTCTCCTGCCCAATACTCAGCTTTCGCTTTTCGCCTCCAACTGTTGCATAAAAATCGAAAATCTTTTGGCCAAATAAATTTCTACTGGCGGCCAAGAAATCGTAAAAGATGTTAAAAGCTTTGGGCAGCAAAAACAATTGGCAATAGTCATGACATGACTGGCTGTCAATTGGCATTGCTGCTGGGCGTGTGCGTAGTTTGTGGCGAAGATGGTTGAAGTGAGCCGACAGACGTGCACACGAAGCTCGTCAGCCTGACATATGTAAAAAAAATTCAAAAAAAATCAATGGAAATAACAACGGCAGCGGAAAGATTATGCTGTCTTTCGGCCTCAGAGCCTCCCTTTGTCCCCTTTCTCTTGAAGGTGTCAATTAAGGCGCAATGTTGCAAAAGCCTCGAACAAAAACGTATGGCAAATCAAAAGACTCTGGCAACGAACTTGACGCATGGCTTTCACGGCCCAGAATGGCGGAACATATGCATGCAAAATATCTAAATATCTATGGTTACAGAATTTTAAACGCTGTCAGTCATTCCACTTTCTTTTTACGGCAATGACATTTTTATACAGTTTAATTTCTATTTTTTTGTTTTAAAAATAAACTCTTGAATTCTTCAGTAAATACCAAAAAATAAATCACTGCAAGCTTAAGTAGTTTCCAATTAAAAACGAATAACCTTTGATCTATTCAACAAAAAGTGTTATTTCTACTTTTACTCTTTAAAATAAAATGTAAAATTATTTAGTTAATACCAAAAAATAACAAATAAAATAAATTAATTAGCTTACAATTAAAAGCAAATAACCTTAGGTTTATTAAACCAAAATAAAAATGTAATATCTACTTTTCTTCTTAGGAAAACTCACAGTAAGCGTAATTAGTAAACAATAAAAAGCGAATCACCTTTGATTTATTTCGCCAATTTTAATGCGATGAAATCAAGTCAGAGAAGGACCAAATCATCGCAAATCACTGCTCGGTAATTTGTTTCCCCCCGTTGATTTTCCCCCTGCCTAAATCACCCAATGAATTTCCTCAGTCAGTTGGTCATTTGGCCGGGGCTCGTTAACTTGTTTCTGTGTTGGCCACTTGCAAGGCCATCGCGCCATCTCAAGTGCAGCTTTGGCCAAAACACCCCCGCCAGCAACTGGGAACCCCCTTAATTAGCGCATGTGTTGCATGCAACTAAAGTTGCATGTGGTCAAGCTGCCTGCTGCTAGTGGCCAGTTGCTAGTTGCTATCTGGCAGCCCACTCAGCCGTGTAAATTGTATCAATAAATTTATTGATTTCAACTGTTGCTGCTGACTTGTTTAATATTTTGCGACGATTTATGTTGCAGGCATGCAAATTTTAGTATTTATTTGCTTTGTCGGCGCACCGATGCAGCGGGGCAGAGGAACCAGATGACCAAGATGACCAGATCTCTGGCGGCTCTGGCTTTAATGAACATGTCGTCTCCGCCGTGTCGTCGCTCTCGGGAAAGAGTCATCAAAAGACACACGCATGGCAAATTTGTGTGCTCCGGCTGTCAGCTCATGTCGCGTGCCCCTGCCCCAAAAATCTCCTCCTCAAAGTATCACACTTGAAATAATAATATTCCATTTGAAAATTTTTTTGCGTTGTTTGTTTATTTATATTTTTTGAATGCAACAGGAAAAAGATCTTAAAAATTGTAATAATCCAAACTCCTATTTTGTTCTTATTTGTAAGTTACAATTATGGACTTCTTTAAATTAAAAATGTGCTCATACAAATTGGTATATATTTATGGATATAACTATTTGCATTTCAAGTTTATGAAAAGAAATTTCACATTCAAAATGAATCTAATAAAAATATTTTGATAGTCATTTTAAAATATTTTAGTTTTGTATGGTTTTAAGTGTGTGGCTTGAAACATAAAATACGTATAAAATTATTTAAAATCATATTTTTATTTAATAATTTTGTTATATTTTAATGAATAGGTATTATTTTGTAATATTTCATCATTTCTCGCAAGTGCACCTCTGCGTCCTGTTCATGGCAGCGTAGTTTAATGACAGAAATTAGGCAACCTTTCACTGGCACATAATTTCACCCACAGAGACACTTCCGTCACTGGGCGAGAGTCGGTTTGTTTTCTCGTTTTCGATTTTTGGTTTTTGGTTTTCGATCGTCTACAAAACCACCCATAGAACACTTTCGTTCATTGGCCAACCGAAAACGCGCCTTGCACATATATTATTTGTGTTTATCGCTTTGCATTTGGGGTTAGGGCAATTTCTACGGCCATCGACTTGCCACTTGAGCCGCCGAAATGCCTGCCATGCATGCAAAATCAGGTGAAAAGCGCTGCCCGCGCAGACGTCGCCCGGTGCATTGCTAATTAGATAAACAAATTTGTATTTTTTTCTTGGGACCCGCCGTCGACACTCGCACACAGAAGCGGACACCAGGCGATGGACATTGTTGCACGCACTCGAGTTATTGAAAAGTGAAATACGCCGGGAAAAGGTGGCAGCTTTGGGTGGGGAAAATACGAAAGACAAATGCTCTTTTGGATTTTTAAAGTTAATATAGAAAATCTTGTTAATTTTAGGTGGTTTTTAAGTTTAAGAAAGGTTCATAAATACTCTCAAAGATCTGAGTTCTAGTTCGGTTCGGATCTAAAATCGAATAGTAAGGAATACTAGATTAAAAAATAAATATAATTTTCACTTAATTTTATTCTTATAATTTTTAAAAATTTAAATACATCAATAAAAGCCATATAGACAGTAGTGTTGCTATTTGAATCGTTTAAATCAATAAGACCCATCGATTTCTCCCCGCTGATAAAGTACAGCCCCTTGTCAAAGTGAGGCTACCCATTCGGATAGCAGATACTACAGTGATAAATGCACAAACAGTCCGAAGCTTAGTTTCTAAAAAAGAAAGTGAAATTCGAATGCGGACAGAACGAAGCGCAAAGTGCGCGGCCCAGGCAGCTCCCAACTTGGCCAACTTGGCCAGGACCAGGCCAATACGACGACAGCAACAACAAAAATGAAAACAAAAAATAAATATATAAAAATCAAAGACAAAACCTGCCTGCGAGCCGCAACGAACGGCAGCGAGTCATTCACAAGTTGTGATGCTAAACAAATATGACTAATTATGGAGGAACTGACGCACTAAACAGCGCCACATAATGCGCCCGTCGTCTCGGTTTCGACGTGGATGCGTCCACCGATGGACCGGAGTCCGGACCGGTTTCCCGGCGGCCTAGGCCAAAACCAAAACCAACACCCGCAATTTCGCCAGTTCGTGGAAAAGCGCTCGATTGTATGAATGAAATGCGTTTTACGCGACAAAGTTGCCACCGATCGCCAATGGCGGTTGTGCACTTGAAAAATAGGTTGTCTTAGAAATATAATTAAACAGAGAAAATTATTCTAAAATATTTCAAAGTAGCTATAATAATTTTTTTTTCAACATAAATATTTTCTTACAACAATAAACAATGAAAAGATAGAAAAATTAAAAATTATTAAATATTAAAACATTATTTAAAAATTTTATAAAAAAAATTGTTATCCTGCATCTATGAGGTGGTTCAACTTGTTTCTCTCAAATAAATCCCTTGGTAAAATTTTTAAACATATTTTATAAATATTATACATACTTTTCCAAGTCAATTATTGTTCTCTGTGAGAGGTGAGTAATGCCCGTTTTGCTCCGCAGATCGCTCGTCATCCATATCCAGGTCGAACGGCGGGCGAAGCAGATTCGGATTCGTTGGCAGCGATATTAGGGATCACAACATGTGGCGACCCCGCCCTCGCCAGCTGCACATCAATCGGTTTCCCACTTCCAGGGGGCAGGGAACGGGTGAGTGGGTGGCGGACGAGGCGCCAACGTTGCGCTGGGGAATCGCACCCGTCAGCCTGATGGCGGATGACTTTGCCGCAGCGCTGAGTGTCCTGCCGGAGAAGCATCATCGCATCGTGTCCTGCGTGGCCGCCTACCAGTCGCACGCCCTCGCCTTCGCGGAACGCCATCAGGTGGAGAACGTGTACACCAGCTTCGAGGATTTGGCCAGGTGCCCGAATGTCGGTGAGTCTCTAGATTTGGTTTTGTAAGGTCAATCAGAATGCCTGCGGTCACACGCTTACCTTGCATTGGGCACACGTCGATTCTTCTTTGTGTCGCATGTGCGTGGTTTTATTTGAATTTTTTTTAAGTCAATAAATTTGTACTTAGCTTAAGTATATACCCCTATTGAACAACCACCTAATCATACTTTTGTTGCTCCTTAGATGTTGTGTACATTTCTCCATTGAATCCGCAACACTCGGAGCTGTGTCATCTGATGCTGAATCACGACAAGCACGTCCTGTGCGAGAAACCGCTGTGCATGACGGAGGAGCAGGTGACCAAGCTGCTGGAGAAGGCGCGAGCGCGAGGTCTCTTCCTCATGGAGGGAATGTGGCCAAGATGCGTGCCCGCCTATCACTACCTGAGGCACCAAATCCTGCGAAATCGCCTGGGAGAAGTGCAGAAAGTCCGTTGCAGTCTGGGCTTGCCTGTCTCTCAGGGGTAAGGTCTTAATATCCAACACAAACCACGAAAATAATGTAAATCTATTATTTTTAAAATACTTTTTTAATCGTTATTCATTACCTTTTATTTTAAAAACATTATTTTGAATTCAACGACTTTTATATAAAAAGGGAAAAATAGCTACATATTGTTTTTTAACAAAAAATAAGTCTCAAATAAATGTTACCTTACAATAAAAGTTTTTAAATATTAATAAAAAAAAACTGTCTTCTGTATCGTAATACGTTAAAATACATATATAACACAGAAACTGTTTATTATTTCTTCAAAACTATAGCATTTATTTAAGCTTTCAATATTTTAACTTTAGTGAAATAATAAGTGAATAGTAAACTAGTAACTAAATAATCCCCAGGAGACTGGGACTTTACGGCGGAGTCACGAGCGATTTCGGGGTTTACGGAATGCAGCTGGCACTGTGGGTGTTTCGGGAGGTGCCGCGCTGTGTCAAGGTCAGCGGCAAGGTCAACGCGGATCACGTGGACGTGGAGGCTGACATCGAACTGTGTTTCACTCGCGGCAAGAGGGCCTTCATCGAGGTCAGTTCGGAAAAGCGGCTCAGCAACCAGGCTGTTATTCAGGGCAAGACTGGGACCATTAAGGTGAGTTAATATGTGGATATTCCAGACTGGTATTCGACGTATCGATCCTCTCCAGATGAACAACTACTGGTGTCCCACTCGTCTGATCACCGAGGAGGTGGACTACGAGTTTCCGCTGCCGGGTGGCGAGCAGATGCCCCCCACCCACTACCACAATCGACTGGGCATGTGCTACGAGGCCGAGGAGGTGAGGAACTGCATCCTGAAGGGCAGCAACGAGAGCGATGACTTCAGCCACAACGAGAGTCTACTGCTGGCCAATCTAATGGACACCATTCACGCCGAACTGGGAGTCGGAGAATTCGCTTCTCTTCACAAGGAAACTGCCGATCTACAGCAGCAGATCGAGAATGTTCAGGACGAAGTCAAGGATCCCGAGGAACTGTCCAGCGAGACGTGCCGAGTAGTGCAGGATGTCACCAGCGGTGAAACTATGGAAGCTAAGCAGGAGGAGGAGGAAGCACCTCGCCGGTCCAAAGTCATAGATAACCCCTAGAAATTAAAAGCTGTTTTCAGAAGAATATAACCTGATGCTTGGATAATTTGGAAATGCTTTTAAATAAATTCAGAAATTAGAACGTTCCCATTTCCATTTTTTCTTGAATTATAATTTTATATTGCTCCAAACGAAGTATTATATACCGATCGCTAGCTTAAGAGGTAAATAAATACTTATTTTACGCAATATTTTACGCGTCTTGTACTTTACCTATTTAAATTACAGGTAAGATAAAGTTTACTTTAAAAAGCTTTTAAAATGGTTTGAGTCAAAGCTAAAATATAAGGTCCAAATTTATAAGTAATTTTTCCCCAATGAGGTAAACTTATAATATTAAAAAAAATTAGGTGAAATAAGGATTTAAAATATAAACATAAATGTTTAAATTAAATATATACAATCCAAAAATGTTAATATAAATATTAATCATATACATATTTACAAAAACCTTTTTTTCTGACAAAAAGCAAACTTTGTACAAAAAGGCAGCAAACCACTAAAGATTAGAAAAATAATTTCGTAAACAAAGCTCGTCACAGAAAATTATTTATGCAAAAGGTGGGTAGGAGGTGAGTGGATATTTTTATAGATAATCGCTAAGCGAGAGTGTGGGCTTCCACACCAAACAACAAATCAAATTGTTGTTCTACCTCTGTTAGTGGTTGTCACTGTTATTAACATGAAGTGTTGGCCCTCAGCGAAAATAATATAATGCAGGCCCATTGGCGTCACTCGAATGTAACCGGTATAATCGCTGATAACGAAAGTTTAAAGATAAGATATTCGGCAGTTTATAATGATAATACACTGGTTATTGATAAGGGCGTTCCATGTACAAACTAATTCTACGTAACAAATTCATATAGAAGTTTCTTCTAAACTTTTAAAAAACTGACCATTTAGAACCATAATTTTTCTTATCCAATATTTATATTTCTCAATTATTTTTTTTTTCGGAGTATAGTACAATTTTTGATCATAATAAAGACAATTTAAATGTATTTTTTTTATTTTACAATTTTATTTTTACTTTTCGTTTTGCAGTACATTTTAAATTTGTTACTTAAAATAAAATGACTATAAAATTCGCATATTTCTTGTGATGTCTATTTACTGCTTCTTCACCTTCTTCTTCGGGGAGGCTTTGTTCGATTTGGCAAACAATTTGCGCCACACAAATTTCCAAACAATCTTGTTAACAATAAACAGGATGTAGAGCACCAGAGCGGCGAGCACATAGATGTCCAGGTTGTTGCTGGCGATGATGTTCATGTGGACCAAGGGACTCTGCATGTGGGCGGCGCCATGATGACGGATCACGTACTCCGTCCAATAGACCACCGATTCCTGGGCACTCAAGGGACGATCGCGATACAGCTGCGAGAAGCTCTTCAGCTTCTTGGCGAACTTGGGATTCTCGATAACCTCCTTGATGGCCGCCTTGAACTCATCCAGATCCAAACTGGCCAAAGGCAGCTGAAGGCCATAACCACTGGCGGTCAATTTGTCGGCATTTCCGGGCTGATCGGCGAAGACGGGCAGAGCCAGCATGGGAACTCCATGGTATTGGGCCTCGGCCACGCCGCCCTTGCCGGCATGCGTGATGAAAAGCTTGATCTTGGGATGGGCCAGGATATCGTCCTGGGGCAGCCACTTCTTGTACAGTATGTTCGCCGCCTTGCCGGGTGTATTCTTCGGATCCTCCCACTTCCAGATCACCTGCTGCTTCAGGCTGCTCAGACCCTTGAATATGGTGGTCACCACTTCCGGTTGGATGTGCTCGCCCTTCAGGTTGGAGCCCAAACTAAAGAGGATGGCACCGTGCTTGGCCTTCTCCAGGAACTCCTTGATGTCCTCCGGCAGAGGATCGGGCTTGCTCTTCACCTGAATGCCTCCGATCTCGATGATGCCCGGCACATTGGGTCGAATGGGTCCCTCGCTGATCCCGTGGCTATTGCAGAAGGCCAGCGAGACATTCCTTTTGGCCAGCTCAAAGCTGGGTATGGACTTGTCCTTGCCCCAAAGTCGCCTTAAAATATAAGAAGAAGATTAGTTATCTTTTAGTTAATCTATTGATAAGTACACTCACTCATAGAACCCATTGTATTTGTGGCTCAGGAAGAGACTGAGAATGTTAAATCCAACAGTGCTGCCAAAGTTCTGCAAACGCTGCTGGAAATTCATGGGTTTTCCCGGTTCGCCGGCAATGTTCATCTGGGGAACGCTGGACAGCTCGGGATTGCCCAGAACCTCGTTGACCATCATCATGGGCGCACCGGACCAGGAAATAATTACGGGGCAATTGAACCGAGCACCCAGGGCCACCTGATAGGTATTGAAGAAGAACCCTACGAAGACCACGTCGAATTTGTTGCCCTTGTTGAGATACAGTTCCTGGAAGCGCGGATCCTCCAGGACGTCCACCTGCTTGTCAATCAGCATGGCCAGCGAGCTGAAGATCGATTTGAAGGTGTTCCAAATCGAGGGCTTATCCTTGACCATGCCAGCCATGCCGTCGTTGAGCACCTTCTCGTCCGCCTCACTCATCGGGACAACAATGTGCTTGATGCTCTTGTGGGTCACTTTTGGAGGAACCGAGGACACGACCGTCACATTGTGACCCTTCTCGGCCAGCGTCTTCATGATGGACATGTGGACGATGAAGTGCGACGGACTGTGGCTGGTGAAGACGCCCAGGATGTTGGCTCCCTCGCTGCCCTGGGGCATCGATTGCAGGGCCAAGAGGGCGACCAAAAGGCCACCCAGACTGCAGCCGATCCAACTGCTCCGGTTTGGTGTCATTTCGAGCTCCTTTCAAGTCCAAGTGCAAATGGTAACTGAATGGCCTGCGAGCAGCCGGCGGCTATCTTATACTCAGTTCAGTTGGGCGATAACGCACTGATAAGATTTCTTCGATCGCTTAATCTGCAAAATATATAGATTTAGAAGCATGAATTTCATGAAGAGTTTGCTAACTAATAATTACGTGTTCCTTAAGAGAAGTTACACGTTGCCTTTTATGTAGTACTGGACTTTACTTATTTTGTTATCTCTCTCAATACATTTAAATCATATAGCTCTCTGGCAAACAAAGATAATAGAAAAGAAATTGATTGCACTTCCGAAACAAACTATAACACGTATTCAGAAAATTTCAATAATTATGTTTCTTTTTGGCCTTATAAAGAGAAATCAACTTTAAAATTAGCTCATTAAAATTAAAAACGCCCAACACATTTTGTCTCCTTTTCTCTTTTTTATGATAAGCTTTCATCAGAGTTTAAAAACAAGAGAAGGCGAAACCTATTCTCGGGGTTAAAGTACAATCCAATGCACACACAAAATTGTTTGCTTAGTGTACATTATTGTTGGATCATTAACGTAAACAAGTCTTAATATATATAGTTTGTTTGACATATTCTTCACTTAGGATCTCATTGTAATATATATACACCATGTGCCTTCTAAGTAAGCAGTCAACTTAATAATTTAATTAGTCACTAATAACCAGAAAAATCCACCTTATACTTTAAAATAGACCAGCGTAAATTCTTTTGAATTGTTTCAACTGCAAGTACATGGGTTAAAGTGCAACCTTGTCACTTTGTCAATGTCAACTTGTAGGTTAACTATTATTTCATTGAATTGGCACTCCTCCCCTGATGACTCCAACACAACAATTATAGATATTCGAAATACCTCGTCTATATAGAGACACCATCCAAGTGAGCCATTAAATAATATAAAACAAATTTGGAAAACAATACGCGTTCGGCACGCGCTGCCTCTATTGCCACTCGAATCACTGAGAATTGAATCCGAACCGAATTGGAATCGGAATCGGAATGACCCGAGGAGATACTATAGTTCTCGAGAGGAGAGAACAGCAGAGCGAGAGGCCTCTATAAATAATCGCTGTGGGAGAATGTGGGAGCAACCTGTTGAGCGAGTGTTGCTCTAGGTCTGGGAATCTGTTGTTGCTGTTTCATTAATTGCCGGGTTCTTGAAGGTGCATGACATCAGTTTAAATAAATTATATGCATACAGTGCAGGTCACTGGAGGCACTCGAGATTCAATGCAGATAGCAAGGGTTATAGGGAATTTATTATGCATTATGCATATAAAAAATCCAATATTAATTTTCCCATTCCGCTCCTGTTTAAAACTGACCAAAAATTGCAAACGATTAATTTCAAGGCCCCCAGTGTTTCGCCAACAATATATAGTATATACCTCCGTGATTAATCAATTCCAACGGATGCCTGTTTTGTACAGAGTCATGCTTTCCGGCAAAGCTTTTATCTCTCTAGTACTCGTAATCAGTGTTTCGTTTATGAAGAGCTGCTTCTTATAAATAGTACAAAAGAAAGGCCATATCCGTTATTCTTTTTTATTAGTATTAATTTATTAATTTGATTATTCCTAAGAGCAGACTAGACTACCTACTTGATCACTGACCCCGCAGCAACACATTCATGCACTTTCGTATTTCATAACGCCCAGTGATATTACGTATACGCAATGATAAGATGGCTGAACGGTTAATTATTTTTAAGCTTGTTAGGCAATGTTTTGGCGCGATAACTGTGGCCACGCACAACTCTTAAAACCTTGCGAAATATGAATTTAAATATTATTTTGAGTAAAATGAGTAGCGACAGACTGGCGAGGAGAACTATTCCGTAGACATCGAGATTGCTGCTGGCCACAAAATCCATGTGGATGAGGGGACTCTGCAGATGATAGGCTCCCTGGTGACGCAACACGTACTCGGTCCAGTAGACAACCGATTGCCGGGCGGTCAAGGGACGATCCCTATAGAGGGTGGAGAATTTGCCGATGGCCTCTCGATATGATGGCTTCTCCAGGACCTCACGGATATTCTCCTCCAGTTCCTGTGCCGTCATTGTGTGAATATCCAACCAACGGCCAAAACCCGACTTTGTCATGATCTCAGCGTTTCCCTGTTGATCTCCAAAAATGGGCAATGCCAGCATGGGAACCCCATGGTATTGGGCCTCCGCCACTCCGCCCTTTGCCAGCGTGGGTGATGAACAGTTTTACCTTTGGATGAGCTAGGATATCGTCCTGCGGCAGCCAATTGCTAAAGTAAATGTTAGACGAATTCCCTGGCTTATTGCTCAGATCCTCCCATTTCCACACGACTCTCTGGGGCAGTTTGGAGAGCACTTTGTACAGGATATCTGCAAAGTCGGGTCCAAAGTTATTGGTATTCACATTGGTGCCCAAACTGAAAAATATGGCGCCCTCGTCGGCATTATCGAGGAACTGGGCTAGTTCCTTGGGCAGTGGATCCGACTGCTCTTTAACCTGTATCCCTCCAATTTCAATCGATTGCGGAACTGTTGGTCTGATGGGTCCTTCGCTGGGCGAATGGTAGTTGTAGAACAGCAAGGATATGCGACGCTTCATTTCGTAGTAGTTGGGGAACTCAGGATCTGTCTCATTGGCAAAAGCTTCCCTGAAAAGGGATGAGAACTCCTTAGATCGCTAAAAATACTTAAATTACAAATAATACTTACTCGTACATCTGGTTCATCTTGTAGTTCAATAGTTTATTCACTACGCTCAGGAAGGAATGCTTGAAAAAGTTTCCAAATCTTTGGGTAAATTTCATGGTGTTTTGGCCAGCTTCGAGGGCTACATTCAAGCTGGGCACATAGGATGGATCATTGACATTTCCCACAATAACGTCCATAAAGGGCAGTGGCACGCCCACCCAAGTTATGATCACCGGACAGCGGAGCTTGGCTGCAATGCCCAGCTGAAAGTCGTTGGCCATCGGACCCAAGATCACCAAATCAAATTTGGTCTTTGGATTCTCGTACAGCTCCTTAAAATCGGGATGCACCATAAACTCACGCTGTCCCTCCAACTGAACATTCGCCTGGGTGACGGCTTTTAGCATGGTCGTCCAGATAGAAGGTTTGTCATTGAATGTTTCCTTCATATATTCGTCGATGAATTTCTTTCGTTCGGGAGTCGGTGGTGCCACAATCACAGTGATATTTTCATGCGCTGCCAATTTCGGTTTCATCTGGGTCACCACTGTGATGTTGTGACCCCGATCCGCAAGGGTTTTCATCACAGCCATGTGCACGATCACATGGGAGGGACTGTGTGTGCCGAAAATTCCCAAGATATTGGCTCCATTACTTTCTTGAGTCTTAATGCTCAAAAGTAATACGAGCAATAGCCCGATCGAAGTGTATTTAATCATTGTTAATGAACTTTTCAATTGAACTCACAACAAACGACTAAGTTTCGACCTCTAGCGTGCTAGCTTTTATAGTACTACTACTACTGCTACTACTACTTCCATGACCATTTGAAATGATCTGAGTTGATATAGGTTTCATTGTTTTAGCTGCGCCGTAGTGACTGGACATATCAGGGAGGTCTGGCAGGGTCTCTGTCCTAAACTTATCGCTACGGGGTTTATCGCTATCGCTAGGGTCTGGCATCGTATCGCGTGTCTGCGACCTGAGTCATGATTAAATTGAACAAACTGCAAACTTATCGACAAACAAAACTCGAGTTCTATATTATCATGTTTGTTGCCTTGTATGTGGGCCAAAGTATAGTTTTGCGTATTTCAGTGGAATCTTGTTTCTAGTGGCCGGCTTTCAATAATAGAAAAATTAGAGATTAAAATTAAAAAATTAACCCAAAGAGATTTGATAACAAGCTTTTCTACGAATTCAATATTTAACCTATTAAAGATTGACAAAGTCAAAAAAAACCTAACCTCGTTTTTTAACCGGTTTATAACCATAACTTATTATTATTCCAGTTTTCCAAAAAAAAAAAACCCAGGCCATTTTTAAACTATACAAATACACAAACTGTTAATACAATTTAATTATTTTATTAATTATATACAGTTCTTATTAATATTTTGAGGTTTTTTCTTTTTATTGCTTCTTTTTCGTCTCTAAGATTTTTGGCTGACCCCTAAACTTTGCTCCAAATGAAATTTCGCAACCAGGCGAGCCAGGAGCAAAAACAATACTATGAATGTTGCAATTAGAGCGTAGATATCAAGATTGTTTAGCTCTATGAAATTCATATGAATCGAAGGACTCTGCAGATGGGGAGCACCGTGATGTCTCAGGATATACTCCGTCCAGAAAACAACCGATTGTTTTGCCGTCAGAGGTCGATCCCTGTACAGGGCCGAGAATTTTCCAATAGCTTGGCTGTACTTCTTGTTCTCTAACACTTCTTTCAGGGCCTCCCTCAGAGTGTCCTCCGTTATGGTTAGCAAATCGAGAGCCAGGCCATACCCGGATTTTTCCATCACTGCAGCGTTACCAGGTTGATCCCCGAAAATGGGCAAAGCCACCATGGGTACTCCATGGTACTGGGCCTCGGTGATGCCGCCCTTTCCGGCGTGGGTGATAAAGAGTTTGGTGTTCGGATGGGCCAGGATATCATCTTGGGGCAGCCAGTTCTTATAAAGTATGTTGGATGCGTTGCCGGGTGTGTTCTCCAAATCCTCCCACTTCCAGATAACATTCTCTTTCAGTCCAGACAGGACCTTAAAGATGGTCTGCACAATTTCCGGCTTCACCGTGGAGCTCTTGATGTTTGAGCCAAGTGATAAAAAGACAGCTCCTTGGGTGGACTTGTTCAAGAACTGACCGATATCCTTGGGCAGCGGATCCGGCTTATCCTTAACCTGAATTCCTCCGATTTCAACAAGTCCAGGCACCATGGGTCGAATAGGACCCTCACTAATCAAATGGGAGCCCACAAAGGCCATCGAGATATTCTTTCTCAACTCTTTCAGAGTTGGCTGATCTTTTTCCGCGAAGATTTCATTATAAATGCGCGTCAATTTGAAATCAAAGATAACAAGAATATACTCGAAAAACAGGTACTTAGCCAAGTTTTCGGCTCGCTTAAGCAAACTCATGGGCTGCGTTACAACAGTGCCCAATAAGGGAACATAAGCTATCTCTGCGGGATTGCCCGTATACTTATCAATCACAGTGGCTGAGGCAGACATCCAGTCGATGATAACAGGAACCTTCAGCTTATGCGCAACTCCCAGTTGAAAGTCGTTGATGAAATAGCCCAATATCATTAGATCAAATTTGGTCTCGTAAACGCGCTGGAACCTCGGATCTGAGAGTAGTTCGGCCTGGGCATTGATCATCACTTCCATGCCAGAAAGAAGTCGATTCATGGTGCTCATAAGTGAGTTCTTTTGCCCGGCCATTTCGGTCATTTGGTTTTCCATAATGAGCTCCTGGTCCTCCTTCATCGGGATCACAATCAGGGTTATGTCCTTGTGCGTTACCTTGGGTTTAAGCATCGAGACCACCGTCACATTATGTCCAGCTTCGACCAGAGCCTTGGCCACCGACATGTGGATGATCAGATGCGATTGACTGTGGCTGCTGAAGAGCCCCAGAATATTTGCTCCCTGGCTGGAAGCCACCACGCCGAGTAGCAGCAAAATTACGGAGCGAACCGCGAACATTTTGTAAACTTATTTGCCTGACCTCTCCGGTCAATGTCGAAATAAAAACTGAAGAGAACTGGTTGGGCGGCTAGCTTTTTATGGGTAAAACATTCGAGCTGCCAGTCATTTGATCCGCTTATCGACTCCCTTCGATTTTATGCGATACTCTTATCTAAAGCTCTTAATTATCTGACTCAACTCTTTTCTTTTATTAAAGCTGGTAACCGGCAATATAAAGGTTCAAACACTTTCCTTCGGCGTTCTATAATAAAGGGTTTTCTATTTTTAAGGGATTTATAACAAGAATATTTGTTATTATAGAGAGAAAATTTCTATTTAAATATAACGAATACAATTTTATTTCACAACTTCAATTATTTTTGCAGTACCTACACATTGTATAATATAAAAAGTAATTTAAAGGTAGGTAACTCTTAACAGTCGCTATCGGTTCTCTTTGATTAGAAACGGTTCTCTTATCTGCAAAAAGTAATTCAAAGGTCGGTAAGTCCTATCAGTTACTAAGCAAAAATTAATCTATCAACTCTCTTTGATTGCAAATGTTACTCTTATCTAGAAGCTCTTAAAGTTCTGACTCAACTATTTCCCTTTTCCTTGTGCATACTAAGCTTCTACCACAGGATTTAAAAAAAGACTTTAAGACAAATATTCAGTCATTTAAAATTATTCTAGAGAAATATTATTTTTAAGTCAGATGTATAATATCATTGTATTCATTTATATAATTTCACCATTTATTTTTCTTTATTTCCCCAAAATAAAGTGAAGTGAAGTCACCTTAATTTTATCGAGCATAGATATATAAAACATGTTTTTTATTTTTGTTAATTATTGTATTTATTTTTTAAAGAGTACATTTATTGATTCTTTTTCGCTGCTGAGATGTTAGCTTTGGCAAACAGTTTGCTCCAAAAGAATTTCCCAACCAGTCGAGCCAGGAGTAAGAAGGAGATCACGATCGATGCAATAACAGTATAGACATCCAGATTGTTGAGCTCAATGAAACCCATATGGACCGCAGGACTCTGAAGGTGTGGGGCACCACGATGCCTCAGAACGTATTCCGTCCAGTAAACCACTGTTTGTTTTGCAGTGAGGGGTCGATCCCTGTACAGAGTGGAGAATTTCCTAGCTGTTTCACTATACTTGTCATTTTCCAAGACCTCCTTTAGGGCCTGTCTGAAACTGTCTTCGGTAATAGTGAGCAAATCTAGGGCCAGGCCAAATCCAGATCTTTCCATTTGAGCAGCGTTTCCTGGTTGATCTGCGAAAACTGGCAGGGCCACCATGGGAACACCATGGTACTGGGATTCCGTGATGCCACCCTTTCCGGCGTGGGTGATAAAGAGCTTGGTGTTCGGATGGGCCAGGATATCATCCTGCGGCAGCCACGTTTTGTAAAGAATATTAGTAACATTGCCTGGGGTATTGTCCAAGTCCTCCCATTTCCATATAACATTCTCTTTCAGTCCTGACAGGACCTTGAATATGATCTGAACGATTTCCGGCTTCACTGTGGAGCTCTTGATGTTCGAGCCGAGGGAGAGGAAGACAGCTCCCTGGGTGGACTTGTTTAAGAACTGACCAATGTCCTCTGGTAGAGGATCCGGTTTATCCTTCACTTGAATGCCTCCAGTTTCGACAATGGCAGGCACAAGAGGTCGTATGGGACCCTCACTGATTAAATGGGAGCCTGTGAAAACGAGTGTGATATTTTTCCTTAACTCTTTGGAGAGAGGGTAGATTCTTATCTCCACCATAGATTTTCTCATAATTGTGGTTCAGTTTAGACTCGAGTATTGTCGACATGTACTTGGAAAAGAGATGCAAGGCCAGGTTCTCGGTTCGTTTTAGGAAGCCCATTGGCTGCGTTGCAATAGTGGCCATATGGGGTACGTAGGATAATTCCGAGGGATTACCGGCAAACGCATCAGTTATGAAATTGGGTGGCATTAACCCATCGAGAATGACGGGAACCTTCAGCTTCGCTGCAACTGCCAATTGAAAGTCGTTGAGAAAGTAGCCCAAAATCATCAAATCGAATTTGGTCTCGTAAATTCGCAGAAATCTCGGGTCGGTAAGCACATCGGCCTGGGAATCGATCATCACATCCAAGCTGTTCAGGAAGCGACTCATGGTGTCTAGCACTGAGTTCTTTCGTCCTGCCATGATGGCCATTTGTTCCTCTATGCTCCGCTGCTGCTCCTCCGTCACTGGGATCACAATCAGGTGGATGTCCTTGTGCATTAACCTTGGGCTTCATCATCGAGACCACCGTCACATTATGTCCTGCTTCGGCCAGAGCCTTGGCCGTCGACATGTGGATGATTAGATGCGAGGGACTGTAACTGCTGAAGAGCCCCAGGATATTGGCTCCCTGGGTGGAAGCCACTATTGCGAGCAGCCCGAAAATAGCGAAGCGAAGCGGCAACATTATGTATTTTCTTTGCGTGGCTTCTCCGAGCAAGATCAATACGAAACTGATGGGGAATCGGTTCTTTCGCCTGCTATTTATTGGTGAACTCGACCAGCAGCTATTTACGCAAATGGCTTATCGTCACCTTTGCTTCCGAATGCCGCTTTTATCTACGTGAACTGAGGTTATGATTACACCTAAGCACTATTTTTGTTGTTGTAATAAATATCTTAAAGAAAGTGCTATTTAATGATGATACAACAAGAAATTAATATGTTACATATGTAAAACAAGTGCATTTTCTAATCGATGTATGCTTACTTGGTCACGATGATTCAGCAAAAACACTCTTTCATAGAACCAATCGACGCAGTCTACCATTTATGTGTGTCTACTCAATGAAATTTATCAAGTTTATTAAAAACCAAAACTCTCAAAATAATATAAATTGTTGTAAGAAATTTTGGCGGACTTAATAAGCATAATCAAATGGTTTACAGATATAATAAACGCTCAAATCAAATCGAATGCATGGCGAGCTTTTAATCGTCGTTAGCAAAGAAAACAAATTGATAAGAGCAAATATTACTTTGACATACTTTATTATTTATTTATTTACTTATTTCGCCAACAGATTTTCCTTAACTGGCATCTTATAATTAGTTTCATTTATTCAGAACTCTAGAAAATCATTTTGAACGGATTGTCCGGTTGGGTAAAATTCTGTACCGTATTTAGTTTCCATCAAAACTTTGCAGCGCAACGAAGGAGACGTTTCCGACCCTATAAAGAAAGTATTGTATTTAATTTTACAATTTTCACATATAAAAACATTCCCTACAATAATATTTCATTGTGTCCCAACCAAAATTTATACACTTAATATGAACCTTATTATTTTGTTCATATGTTTTTTTTGTAATGAACACTTAATTTTATTAAAATATAAGTGGCCTAAAATTACAAAATACAATTATTCAATTTTATGTTATGTGCGTTTGACTGTGTTCTTAATTGAATCGTAAAGAAAAAAAATCTTTTCGTTACTTTCTTATCGCAAGCCGATAAGGATTTCTTGCAGCTCTGTTGAAAGATTAGCTTACAATTTGTAAATCCAATTTTCGAAGTATAACGATGATAGTGTTCAATTTGTAAAATAAAATAAATATTTGGTATTTTATTCAAATTCGTGGGGGGAATTGTCGTAATTATTTGTTACAACATCATTTAATAGCTAAATTTATTTATTCTTATTTGCTGCTGAGATGTTGGCGTTGGCAAATAGTTTGCTCCACAGGTATTTTCCAATCAGTCCAGCCAATAGCAAAAACAATATCACGATCGATGCAATAACAATGTAGATATCCAGATTATTGAGCTCAATGAAACTCATGTGGACTGCAGGACTCTGGAGCCCCCCACCTCCAGATGCCTTAGGACGTACTCCGTCCAGTAAACAGCCGTTTGTTTAGCAGTGAGGGGTCGATCCCTGTAGAGGTTGGAAAATTTGCGAGCTGTTTCACTATATTTATCGTTTTCCAAGACTTCATTCAGTGCCTGACTAAAAGAGTCTTCTGTAATAGTGAGCAAATCCAGGGCCAGGCCAAATCCAGATTGTTCCATGGCAGCTGCGTTTCCGGGTTGATCCCCATAAATGGGCAACGCGACCATGGGTACTCCATGGTACTGGGCCTCGGTGATGCCACCCTTTCCGGCGTGAGTGATAAAGAGTTTGGTGTTCGGATGGGCCAGGATATCATCCTGCGGAAGCCAGGTTCTATAAAGAATGTTGGACACATTGCCGGGTGTGTTCTCCAAATCCTCCCATTTCCAAATTACGTTTTGTTTTAGGCCTGATAAGACTTTGAAAGATGGTCTGAATGATTTCCGGCTTCACCGTGGAGCTCTTGATGTTCGAGCCAAGGGATAGAAAGACTGCTCCCTGTGTGGACTTATTTAAGAACTGATCAATGTCCTTTGGGAGTGGATCCGGCTTATCCTTTACTTGAATACCTCCTATTTCGATAATGGCAGGGACCAGAGGACGAATGGGACCCTCGCTGATTAAATGGGAACCGGCAAAGGCGATTGAGATATTTTTCCTTAACTCATTCAGAGTGGGCATATTCTTATCCCCACCGTAGGTTTTCTCATAAATGCGGGTCAGCTTAGTATCCAGTAATGTCGAGATGTACTTGATGAATAGATGCTTGGCCAGGTTCTCAGCTCTCTTCAGGAATCCCATGGGATGCGTTGCAACAGTGGCTACATTTGGTACATAGGAGATTTCTGCGGGATTGGCCGTAAACTCATCTGTAATGGCGTTGGGCGCTACTAACCAGTCGATGATAACGGGAACCTTCAGCTTGGCTGCCACTCCCAGTTGGAAGTCGTTGAGGAAATAGCCCAAAATCATCAAATCGAATTTGGTCTCGTAAATTGGCTGGAACCTCGGATCGAGGAGCAGATCAACCTGGGAATCGATCATCACTTCCATGTCGTTTAGGAGACGATTCATAGTGTTAAGCATGGAGTTTTTCCGTCCCGCCATGGTGGTCATTTGGTCCTCCATAGTGCGCTGCTGCTCCTTCGTCACCGGGATCACAATCAGGTGGATGTCCTTGTGCATTACCTTGGGCTTCATCATCGATACCACCGTCACATTATGTCCTGCTTCGGCCAGTGCCTTGGCCGTCGACATGTGGATGATCAGATGCGAGGGACTGTAACTGCTGAAGAGCCCCAGGATATTGGCTCCCTGGGTGGAAGCCATTATGGCGAGCAGCCCGAAAATAGCGAAGCGAACCGCAAACATTTTGTAAACTATTTGCTTGACTTCTCTGGCCAATATCGAAATGAAACTGATGGGGAATCGGGTATGCGGCTGCCTATTTATAGGTGAACTTGACCAGCTGATAGCCACACGAATCGCTTATCATCTTTTTTGAGTGGACGACTGCCCTAACTACGTAAATTTAAGGGTGTAATTTATTGTTTTTTTTAAAGGTTTATGGTTGGAGAAATTTCTAAAGTATTTACATTATTTTCATTGTCATTTCTTTAAAAAATTACTTTCTTATAAATTTTAAAAAGATGCTGAATAATAATGATACGACAAAAAATCAGTATAATGGATAACATTTTTTTCGAATTTAAAAATTAATTTTTTCAGTATAACATATTTTGGCTATTTAAAACTTATATATATAAGGATCTTTATTTATTAAATAAAATACCTTAATTTCCCTGTTACATTTTATTAACATTACATTCAATTATTTTTCATTATCATGGATTTCCCAAATATTTAAAAACAAGCATTCTCTAATCGATTTATGCTCGTAGCTCAAATTTGCTTTGCCACGATGACTCAGCTAAAACCAGTTGACACCGTTTAACATTCGGGTGGGTCTGCTTAAAGATAATTATTTGGTCTGTTTAACACCAGCTAAACTCTCACCATAGAAAAATTACTCAATTAAATGGTGTAAATTATGTTAGTGGGCTGCCCAAACATAAACAAATAGTTTATAGATATCATAACAAACACCATAAAAAAGCGGAAATGCTGAAGGAGCTTTTAACCGTCGAAAACCAAAAAAGAAAGAGAATCGAACAAAGCTTTTTTCATAAGAGCAGAAATAGATCAGAATTTCCTAAGAGAATTTAAAAAAATATTTAGGTACAATTACTGTTACAAATCAATTAGTTTTAGTTTTATGGCTTATTCTTACCCCAAAATCCTCAGCTTTTACTTATGTATTTACAAAACAACCATTTCCCTCCCCATTTACCATAAATATAATACCAGTATGCCCACTCTACTTCACTTTCTTACTACCCGGTGGAAGGGAATTCTTTTTGGTCCTCAGCAATTGCTGATTTTGTCCCTTGATGTGACCCCAATGATTGATCTCCCGCAGTTCCACGTCAAACTCTTTCATTGTTTTCCTTAACTCTGGATAGAGCTGCTTGAGCACTCCATGATCGAGTGTGGGAAATAGATGGTGCAGGGCGTGTTCTCCAAAGTGAGTGAGCACCAAGAGGTCCGACCACTTGATATCTCCGCGATCTATGATCGTATCCACCTGATAAAGACCCCAATCGATGTCCTTACGTTGCGTATCGCCATCGTGTAGAATGCGAGGATCATGATGGGCTGCTGTCAAACCAACTAGGCCAAAAATAAAGCTTCCCACTGCCACGATTATTTGCCAGCTAGCTAGACTGGCCAGCAGACCAACGCCAGTGGAAAAATATAAAAATATCGGTAGGGTAAAACCAATAAGATCATCCCAGTGCAACAGATTCCTCTTAGTCAGCGATAGAGCCAAACTGAAAATATAAAATTAATTACCAAAAAATCAAAGCTACTTTACTCACTCACCGCAGGATAAACTGTCCTTGGAAAAGGACTACATACACCACCGGAGATATAATCACAGAGATCCATCGTTGCGTTTTACTGGCATAATGCCGATCGGGAATCCAGCACAAGAACGGCTCAAACATAGACATCTCCAGATCGTGCAGCGAATTTGCATAAACATGGTGTGACAGGGCATGCGAAATCCGCCAGTTCCGAAAGTTCATCATAGTCAGATTAAAGGTATACATCCGCCAATTATCCCGCTGATGAAAGTAATTGTGAGTAGAGGTGGCCACCCAGCAAAGGGCTAAGCCAGCCACACTCTGAAGTACCAGAGAATCCAGAATTGTTCCTGCCCAGCTGAAGATGAAGACGGACACCAAGATGGCCAAGTGGAGAAACTGAAAGGTAGTTAAAAAAAAAATTAGTAGGTTATAAGGAAAAACTAATCCTATATTTGAAACCTATCTTATTCCATTTCTTGTAATCTAATAATTTATAATCTAAAATGTAAAGTTATATGGTAACAACATGGAATATTATCAGATAAATAATAAACAATTTTTTATTAAACTAATAAAAACTTAATTATCTTAAAAAATCAGTACCTCTGTTTTCCTCGTCGGAGAATACTCGATTTTTCTCAGCTTTTCACGAACTCTCCGCTTTAGGGTCATGTAGAAACCATTTTCTTTGAGGGTAAACTTGTAGTTCCTTGGCTTCGAGGCCTGTCGCACTTCGAATTTGCCCAGCATTCCTCGAGCCCGCTCCTCGATGTGGTGGGATTCGAAGGGTTCCGTGATATCCGTGCCTCTGGTGCACTCAATCCAAGAGGCACCGCCCGGATGGCGAGCGGCAAAGTCGCTCAAGTCATAGAGCTTATCGTTAATGCGCCAAAGACCTTCGGCCTCGTCATCGGCATTCTTGCCCTCGAGCCAGCTAGGCAAGAGAAAATTATAATCTTCCATCATTTAGGTTCTTTGTAGAAAGGGGTTTAAATATAATAGATACAAACCTTTCACTTGTAATGGGTCGATGTTGGCGGTAGCTCGGATAAGTCCTCGATATTCCCGATACTTTCCAGGCCACATCCTCTTCAACGTTGGGCGCCATTATTTGCACAGCTCGTTAATCGATCTACACGAATAAAATGAGTTAAATTTAACCAAAGAAAGTACTTTGAATCTTAATGCCTAATCGCGGCTGATAGCTGGCTGATTGATTCCCAAGTTCAACTTAATACCCACCGAAAGAACCGGTCGGTCGGTGCACCCTTCGGATGAAGACAAACCGCAGAGTTTGTTTACGTAGCGCCTACTAAACTTTTATTTGGAGCGTCGCTCGGCTTTTGTCTTCGTATTACACTCGCTCGATCAATTAGTAAAGCTCTGATCCGAGGAGAGAATCGCAGATCGAAAGCTTTGCGCTCACTGCCTCTCACTTCTTATCATGGGTCGAATGGAAATGGAATAATATGTAAATGGTATTCAGTGCACACTTAATTTTAATGTTATTGCTAGTCTAACCTGTGTTGGTTTTAATGGGTTATTGGATTGTATTTTGAGAGCTAAAAAGCGAATGAAAATCGATATAATATCTTATAATAAATCTCATAATAACTTACAAACATTTCATAGAATTATTAAACCTATAAATATACCTGTATTAAAAAAAAAAAAATATATATAATACAAACAAAAATTATTACCAAATATATCTGTATTATTCTGATCAAATTATAAAGCATATTTTATGGGATCTTCAAATGAGAAGACTACCCCCAACAATCACCAAAACTGCTAGCTTTCGGCTAGACCCTCGCCAGCCAAGCGAAGCCTCAAATTGCTGCGATAATATAGCAATATAGACACCGCACTGACCTATTGCCGCCGAAGTCTGGTGCTTGGACATACCCTCACTGTGATCTCACCTAATGAAATTCTGATTAGTACAAAATGTTAAAAAATAAAAAAAAAGAATATGAGAATTAGATAGACGTAATAGATTTAGAGGCGGCAGCTGCGGCCCCACGGCGCTCCGCTGATAAGGCAGACGTCTTATCAACATGGAAACGTTTTGTTTGTAAAGTGGAATCGATTTTTGGTTTATATAATCTGGCGAGATTGGCGCTACGCATAAAATCCTCTGGCCAGTGGCGGTGCCATTCAGTTAGTTGCCGGAATCGCAGCGCGCAGGTTCTCGAATCGGTTTGGATTTTTAAGGATTTCCAAAAACAGGCATCAAAAGGACTCGCCCAAAATGGTAATCGAGGAGTGGAAAAAGAGTGGCATTGCCACCAAATTTCCCACCTATCGCAACTCGCCCCTGATCACCACTCACAGCTGGCAGAAGGGCAAGCGGCAGGACGATCGGGCCGAAGGACTCTGGCGCATCTACGATGGCATCTACGACTTCACCGAGTTCATTGACAAGCATCCTGGCGGCCCTTTCTGGATTCGCGAGACCAAGGGCACCGATATAACCGAAGCCTTCGAGGCTCACCATCTTACGACGGCACCCGAGAAGATGATCGCCAAATACAAGGTTCGGGATGCGGCCGAGCCAAGGATCTACACTTTGACACTGGAGGAGGGGGGATTCTACAAGACCCTCAAGGAGCGAGTGCGCGAAAAGCTGAAGACCGTCGACAAGAAGCCAAAAAGAAAGAGTGATGTGAGTGCTGAAACTAAAAAAAAGTTTTTAGGAAATGGGCGTGAATAGTATTTCATATCAATTCTATATTTCTTATCAATTACAAAGTGAGCCCCAAAAAACTTATTACTAATCTTACATTTCACGTGTCGCAGCAGTTTTATAAGTCTCATGACGATAATGGGACAGAATTATCAGTTTTCCTGGGTTTCTTTTTTGTCCAAATTTTGATAATTAAATAATTAATTAGTTATAATAATTTTCTTTAGAAATAAAAATATTACAATATTTTTTTTTTTTTATTTTTTTTTTAGCTCATCCACCTGGGAGTCCTTGTGTCGCTCTTCCTTTTCGGCATTGCCAGTGCCAAGTACAATAGCCTTTTGGCTCTGATCTTGGCGGGTGTGGCCCTCTGCTGGACGGTGATCGTGTCCCACAACTACTTCCATCGCCGGGACAACTGGCAGATGTACGCCTTCAATCTGGGCCTGATGAACTTCGCCGCCTGGCGTGTGTCCCATGCTCTGTCCCACCACATCTATCCCAATTCCTATTTCGATCTGGAGCTCTCGATGTTCGAGCCGCTGCTCTGCTGGGTGCCCAATCCGCACATCAAAAGCAAGGTGATGCGCTATGTGTCCTGGGTCACGGAACCGGTGGCCTATGCCCTGGCCTTCTTCATACAGATCGGCACACGGTGAGTGATCGTGATCGGGGTGGCGATCGTAAACAAAGATTGTTTGATTGATTGCTATTGATATTTCAGTATTTTCTACTCGCTGCGTCACACGAACATCCTCTACTGGCACGATCTACTGCCGCTGAGCATACCCATTGCTATTTACCTGGGAACCGGAGGATCTGTTGGCGTCTGGACCTGCGTGCGAACGTGGCTCTCGATGACGTCGATCGCTAGTTTTAGCTTCTGTGTGATAGGTCTGAATGCGGCCCATCACGATCCGGAAATCTATCACGAGGGCGATGCGAATCGCGAGGATCGCGACTGGGGCTTGTTCCAGGTGGACACGATCATCGATCGCGGCGATCTCAAGTGGTCACAGTTCCTGGTCCTCACCCACTTTGGCGATCATGTGCTCCACCATCTCTTCCCGACTTTGGACCATGGACTCCTGCCCGCTCTCTATCCGGTTTTATATGAGACTCTTGATGAGTTCAAGGGTCATCTGCGCGAATGCAATCACATTGAGCACATGATCGGCCAGCACAAGCAACTGCTGCGCATCGAGCCCAATCCCAGGGCTCCGGGGGCGGGAAAGTAGAAGCTACTTGTTTTTGGGGTTTAATTAAAAGTAAATAAATATATCCACATAATCTTATTACTTAACATATAAAGGGCCATGTCTTTTAATTTAATGGAAAATTTAACATTCTTATCAGTTTCTGTGGTGTAGTTCCCCCAGCTTTTGCTGGTGATTAGAAATTCTTAGATATTTCATCAGCGAGAATAAAACACATTTGTTAAATTGATTTACATTTATTTTGTTCCTTTTTTGTATACTTTTCATTTAGTGTAGAGTGATGATCTTATCTCTTTATCATTGCTTGATAGAGTCAAAATTAACATAAACATAAGCGCAGTGCATATAGCTTGTGTCGTCCGTAAGTCTTGTCTGGTCTGTATGACAAAGGTAATTGAGAATACATATAGAGCAAAAAATTCGAACAGCGGGCGACATTTACCGGCGGACACCGCCGCGGGGCCTTCACTTTGAAGGGGCTCTCTCATTTCGCGATCGATCTTTCTCAGGCTGTTCGATTGAGAATCGATTTGGTTCTTTCATAGTTAGTTGGTTGAATGCATTTCGAAAGTTGTATAAAAATATATAAATACAAATACAAATACAGGTCCAGCCAGCAGTGTCCCCGTGGCAAATGTCGCGCTTACACAAAAGCCTGATCCTGTTCACTTATGTATGTATGTATACTAATCGATGCGGTGATCGATCGTTGTTATTTGGTTTCATTTTTTGCCTAAGTGCATTTGGCGTTGGTGTTGGTGGTTTGCCTCCCGTCGTTTTCGATATATATTTTGTTATAGTTTTATTATTTTGTTTTTAAATTAAGAAATTAAATTAAAATCATAAACATAATCATTATGAAATATCATTTAAAATAAATTAAAAAATGAAATGGCATTTAGAATTCGTTTTCAGGAGCAAGGTCGAATCTTGGTGGGAAGGCCAATCCGTCGAATTGTGGCCTAACGGACGTCGCACGGGGCTGTAGAATAGAGAGATAAATAAAATTATATAAGGATTAGCTTCAGAAGAATTACGATATTCAAACATGCCGGGGAATGGGACGAGTCGCCCAGTTGGATCGACTGCACTGGGATAGAACGATAACGAGAAGGCCCAGCACTCTCTACGCACGTTTCGTAGTGCCAGCGAGTGCAGGGGTGAACTATAACGGTAACCAGGTACGAAGTGAGCTAACGTAGATGCTCTTCGAGAGAGAGTATGTCTTGCTGGGGAGTCGAGTGTCGGATGAGAGAGGAGCGAGAGCGCTTGACGAGTACGACAGCGAGACGACAAAACGTAACGAATGAGTTGGAGTTTGAGCAACGACAACGAACGAGTGAGCGAGACAACGAGATGAGCTGCGGTTGACTGACTGGCTGACTGACTGTGTGGGTGTGAGGGAGTGGGTGGGAAGAGTTCCGACACAACAAGAACGGGTCAAGACGTGCACGAACACGTCCACTTACAAATGTTTCAGAAAAGTTTCTACTGCTCCAGCAGCGCGCTCTTGCGGCCCTTTGACGCTGTCGGCTGCAGTACACATGTACAAATACAGTTTATAATAATATAGTGGAAGAATAGTATTGATTGTTTTTTTTGTAAATGGTTGTAGAGAAAGCAATTCGATTGATTTAGCCTGATGCTGCTGTTGGTTGCTTGCTTGTTTACTTGTAATTTTTTTTTTTGCTTTTCGTTTGGTTTTCTGTCAAAATGAACGCATTCTTGGTTGGTATTCGATGAATTGATCCATTGATTTCGGATTTGGGTGGCTTCTAATTTTTACATTTTTTTCTGCTAGCGAATGTCGTATGATGCAACTATATTATTGTTATTAGTATTTATTTTATAATAATTCTTATAAGCTATAATTCTCTTTGCATGGTTTTTGTTCTCTCATTATCGTAAATGAACCATAATTGGATCGCTATATAGATTGTTTTTCACTTGGTGGTGCTGCCTCAGATTTAGATCTGTTTTCGTGAGAAGAAGCAGAGAGCATACGCGCGCAATATGAAAGGGAAGAATATACGGATTATTCAAAAACTGATCTGAAGAGAACGTAGTGATTGCGGCAAAATGGAGGCTCAGTTGGTGTTCGATTGAGAGAAATTCAAATGATATATTTTCTTTTTTCTCTGAGAGGAGGATGGTAGGGTCTCATAAGGTCTAGAGAGGTAGGGTGTGATGATGATGGGAGGCTCTAATCAAAACTTACCGCTGGGCTGGCACCACGACCGACAGAACCGGCACGTCCCTTGGCGCGGAATTTGCTGATGGCCTGCTCAGCCAGATCGGCACGCTCCTCGGCCTCCTCCAGCTCCTGCTGAGCCTTGCGGAATTTGGCCAAGTTGAGGGCGGCGATTTCCTCGGCCTCCTCGATCTGCCTCTTGTATGTCTTGATCTTCTGTTGCAGCTTGTCGACCAGATCCTGCATGCGCTCGTGGTTCTTGCGGTCCTCCTCGGACTGGAAGCTCAGCTCCTTGACGCGACGCTCGGACTTGCGCAGGTTCTTCTGGGCATCGGCGTGCCTCCTCTGCTCACCGTCCAGCTCGTTCTCGAGCTCGCGGACGCGCTGCTCGAGCTTCTGGATGGCCTTCTTGCCACCCTTGAGGGCGTTGGCCTCGGCCTCGTCGAGACGGACCTGCAGCTCCTTGATCTGCTGCTCGAGGGCCTTCCTCAATTTCTCCTGGGTCTGGGCATGATCCTGCTCGGCGCGGAGCTCATCGGCCAAACGGGCGGCATCGACCATGGCCTTCTTGGCCTTCTCCTCGGAGTTCTTGGCCTCGTTCAGGAGTTCGTCCAAGTCGGAGTGCAGGGTCTGCAGCTCGGACTCCAGCTTCCTCTTGGCAGCGGAGATGGAGGCGTTCTGGGCGGACACCTCGTTCAGCTGCTCGTGGGCATCGGCCAGCTCCTGCTCGGCCTGGCGACGGCCGCGATCGGCCTGCTCCAGCAGAGTGCGAGACTCCTCCAGTTCGTTCTGGAGGGCGTTGGCACGACGCTCGGAGATGCCCAGCTGTTCGCGGGCATCGTCGCGGGCGCGCTGCTCCTCCTCGAGGGCAGTCTGGATGTCCTTCAGCTGCTGCTGGTAACGCTTGATGTTCTTCTGGGCCTCGGCGTTAGCCTAAAAAAACAAGAAAATAGTTAAAAACAATTAAATAAAAAAAAAAAATAAAAAAAAAAATAAAAAAATATGAGGTACTATCGCATTCAAACCCACCTTGTTGGCGTGATCCAGAGCAATCTCAAGCTCGTTGATGTCAGCCTCCAGCTTCTTCTTCATGCGCAGGGCCTCAGCCTTGCCCTTGGCCTCGGCTTCGAGGGAAGCCTGCATGGAGTCGAGGGCGCGCTGGTGGTTCTTGCGGGTGTTCTCGAACTCCTCCTCCTTCTCCTGGATGCGGCGATCGATCTCCTGGCGGACCTGGGACAGCTCCAGCTGGGCGCGCAGCACCTTGTTCTCCTCCTGCTCGAGAGCAGCCTCAGCCTCCTCGAGGGCGGCCTGGAGCTCGTCCTTCTCGGCCTCGAGGCGCTTGCGTGCCTTCTCGATCTCATGGATGTTGCGGCCACCCTCACCGATCTGGTCGAGCAGATCCTTGACCTCATCGGCCAGGTTCTTGTTCTCACGACGCACAGCCTCCAGCTGCTCCTGGCCCTCCTCGTAGGCGCCCTTAAGACGGAACAGCTCGGTGGAGTAGTTGCGGCACTCCTTCTGGGAGGCATCCAGCTCGGCGGCCAGATCGTCGACCTTGAGCTTCCACTCGCCGATGATCTTGTCGAAGGCCTTCTGCTTCTTCTCGGCAGCATTGGCAATGGCGTTGGCACGGTCGACCTCCAGCTGCAGATCCTCCACTTCGGTGGACAGGCGCTGCTTGGTCTTCTCCAGGCCGATGCACTTCTGGTTGAGGGACTCGATGGTCTCCTCAGCCTCGGCCAAACGGGCCTGCAGCTTCCTCTTGGCCTCCTCCAGCTCCTCGGAGCGGGCGACGCCATCGGACTCGTACTTGCTACGCCAGACCTGGGCCTCAGCGTTGGCCTTGCTCAGCTGGCGCTGCAGATCGGCCTTGCCCTCGGCCTCCTCCTCAACCTGCTCGCGCAGATTGTCCAGGTCGTGCTCCAGGTTGCGGAACTTGCCCAAAAGGGTGGCACGCTCGCGCGACTCCTCGTCGGCCAGACGCTTGGTATCCTCCAACTGGGTGGTCAGGGAGATCTTGATCTTGGACAGCTGGGACACCTGGGACTCGGCCTCCTCCAGCTGGCGGAGCAGGTCGGAGTTCTCGATGGACAGCTTCTTCTTGCTGGCATCGAAGTCGTTCAGAGTCCTGTTGGTCTCATCCAGTTTCGACTGCACCTCGTTGAGGGTGTGCTGCAGCTGCTTGGCGATCTTCTCCTGGGCAGCCTGTATTTTTGGATTTAGATTTGCATTAGTTTCGGATTGATTTGGGGTTATTTCTCCATCGGAGGTTTGTGAGTGTGGTGGCATTTTGGTCGTGTCAAGTGCTGTACAAGGCATTGGGGAGTTAGTAGATCAAGCTTGGAGATTACTCAAGTGGGTGGGTCGTTTTAGTTTTTACATATTTTCTTTGGGATTTTTCGGTGTGGTTGCATTGCAACTACGTTGATACTATACACAGATGTAGAGACGTGGCAAAACTAGAAATTTCAGCATTTTAATTTACAGCATCGCGTTGAGAGCATTTAACGCATAGTAAAGATCAAGTTTCAATACCTTCTCGTTGGTAATGTGGTCGACACCGGCGCGCAGATCGTTCAACTGGCCGTAGTACTCGTTCTTCTCCTTCTCAGCCCTGGTTTAGACAGATAGATAGAGACACAGAGAGGTTCGTATTGCACGGGTTAGTTTATGTTTTGTGGGGGATAGACAGAGACAGAGGCAGAAACATAGGCGAGAAGCGAGAGCGACTTGCTATCCTTGCGTTGAACCTTTTTTTTCGAGAAACCCTTCATTTCGATTAGACAGAGAGTTTTGGGTAACACACAGACGTAGTTTAATACGTAGTTGTGTGTTTGCTTTATTTGGTTGGAACATGCGTGTTCAGTGTAATTCTGTATATGTGTGGATCGCTCGGCG